TGCAATTGTGATGAATTATGTATTAATGATGATTGTGTTGGGGATTGATTAGGGTTCATGTGGCTCGTGCTGGAGTTTCAGTACTACAGGAGCTTTGGAAGGTGCTAACTACCTTGCAACTGGAAACCTTGTTAGCCTTAGTGAGCAACAGCTTGTGGATTGTGATCACGAGGTTTGATTCATTTTTGCCTTATCTTTTTATTGCTCTATTTGCATTTGTGAAGAAGACCTGTGTTATATAGTTTATGGTAGATATTGTTGTGCATATGGCATATTGTGACATTGTGTTACACCGGCTTATTCTTCATCCCCCTTGAACCTGCTTTTATTATTGCTCGATGGTGGGTATGACTAAGATTCCTCAAGCATTGCAAGATATCTAATTTCTCTTGGAACTAATCCTCAATGAAGGGAGCACCTATTCTGCTAAAGAAGCCTGGTTCAATGTGGTTGGGCTGGAAGTTCAATTTCTTTTTCTTTAGTGGTTCCTTTTTTGCTAGGTCAGGGGCACTGCAGAACATGCTCTTATGTTTCCTGCAGTACTGCGTCTAATGCCCTTTTGATTCTGTTGTGTGATTGTATAGAGTTATCTTGCCATGAATCCCCTGTTTAACCCTTTGTGATTCCACCGTATTAGGCCACAGTTATATAAGCTCATCTGATGCCCATTTATTGTTTAAATTGACACAGTTTAATGTGTTCATCAACTTTTGCTCACGTACATGTTTCAATGCGATAAGCTTGTATAGTTAAGTGACTCATTAAGCTTAGATTATATTGACTCTTCTAATTGATATGCAGTGTGATCCAGAGGAGCAAGGTGCTTGTGATTCTGGATGCAGTGGTGGGCTCATGAATAGTGCCTTTGAGTACACACTCAAAGCTGGTGGACTTATGCGAGAGGAAGACTATCCTTACACTGGTACTGACCGCAGCACCTGCCAATTTGACAAGACTAAGATTGCTGCCAAAGTGTCCAACTTCAGCGTTGTCTCTCTCGACGAGGATCAGATTGCTGCCAATCTCGTGAAAAATGGTCCTCTTGCAGGTAATTAACTGTTATAGCTTACAGTTATATGTCTCAAGGAATTTTTCTTTGTTGCCTATCGTTTTACAGTAATGGTTAATGGCTATATTTCTCATAACTTTACCTTCATGTGAATGCAGTGGCCATCAATGCTGTGTTCATGCAAACATATATAGGAGGCGTTTCATGCCCATACATTTGCTCAAAGCGTTTGGATCACGGGGTGTTGCTCGTGGGGTACGGTTCAGCTGGCTATGCTCCAGTCCGGATGAAGGAAAAGCCATACTGGATCATTAAGAATTCATGGGGAGAAAACTGGGGAGAGAATGGTTTCTACAAAATCTGCAGAGGTCGCAACATTTGTGGAGTCGACTCCATGGTATCGACTGTTGCTGCTGCTGTTCGTGCCGACTCTGAGTAGTAGGCTACAAACATTTCTGATTTGTATATAAGTTGGTTTAATTCCATTTGGGAAAAAACTTGATTCAACTTTTTAGCTTTTGTCATATTCCCATCAAAGCATAAGATTGAAATTCTTTATGCGATTGGGTTGCTCAAACTATTTAGAGTGTTTTATTTATGACATCTACTGCATCTTCATCTGTCTTTATTGTAAGAATGCTGTATTATCTGGATTTAACTAAATATATGAAACACATGATAGCAAGTCACTGCTATGCTTTAAATAAAAAAGCATTTTATTTGTATGCCTCGTTTTGNGAAATAAAAATGATAAATGTCAAAATTTGAGAAGAAAGAAAGTTACCGGAGAAGCCAAGGGAGAGCAGAGGGTTGGCGGAAGCGAGGCCGGTTAAAGATGGGATGAGTTGTGGTTGATTGTTGAGGCTGAGAGTGAGACGACGCTGGTGGGAAGAAGAGGAGGAGGAAAATCGAATAGAAGAAGAAGAAGTGGAATTGAGTGAAGGAAGAGCTGAACTTAGAGATGCCATACTCCATTTGCTACTACTATCCGTTACGGCCGTTGCCGTTGCCATTGCCATCGCCATTGCTGTGAATTCACTGGAGTGAGTCTGGATAGTTGATGATGAGATAGACTGGATAAGACTTAAAATCACAGCTGCCAGATTATGGACTCACTCTTCCTCAAAGCCCATGCCATTTCTCTGTACATGATCCAGCCCAGATGTTTATCAACTTGGGCCTAGTATTTTAGATTTAAAATTTCAAGGGTTTATAACAAAAACCCCCCTGAGGTATAATTAGATCACAAAGATCCCCATAGTTTTAGTAATAACAGAAATTCTCCTGCCTTTAAGTTTTTTGTATTAAAATAAATGGCATAAGGGTAATGTGATAAATATAAATAAACCCATCATGCTAAATTATTAGGGGAAATTTTGTTGGGTTAGAGTTAGATTAAGCGTAAGCTTCATGGGTTGAGAAAACCCCTTTAAAAAAAAAATAATGGCAATGTTTGGGGCATTATTTCTGCTTTATCCTACCCAAAATACATGTTTTTTTTCTTTATTCTGAAAATTTAATTATATTATATTCAACTATTTTAAACTCACTAGATTTGTTAATTTAACTAAACACCCCAAAAAAAGTTTAGGAATTGATAACAACACCCCCACCTACCCACATTTGCCAGATTCCGACCACCGCCGAGGGAAGGTAGCTAAAATATGGCGTAATGGCACACTACGGGTTGGATCTACCCGGTAGTGCGCTGATATAGCCTTTTCCAACCAGATCTACCATGGATTTGGCCGAAAAAGGCTAGAGCTAAGACCAAAGATCTGGTCGTTGACGGCCAGATCTTTGGCAATAACTGGTCGTCAACAACGGTCATATCTTTGGCCATTGTTGACAATCAAACGTGGTCAAATCTAGCCGAAAAAGGTCATATTGGCTCATGACCAGCCAGATCCAACCTGTCGTATGCTATTACGACGACTGCTAGCCACCTTCTAGCAGTGGTGACCAGCTACTGACATTTAATGGATGGGTGGGGGGTGTTTTGTTAATTTTTAATGTTTTATTGTAGGGGTGTTTAGCTAAATTAATAAAGTTAATGGGTGTTTTGTTTATTTTCAAATCCTACCTCATAATAACCAGGGGTGTTCAAAAGAACATGTTGGAACCGGAACCAGCGGGTACCCGAGGTTTGGTTCCTGTTCCTATCCAGAATCGACCGTCAACAGGTAGGTTTCGGTTCCAAATTTTTTGAACCGTTATTGTGCGGTTCTGGTTCCTATAGTTAGGAACCAGAACCAGGAACCAAGAACCGAGACTAATATAAAATAAAATTAAAGATTAGGGGGGTAAATAAAAACTTTTGTAGAAAAAATAATATGAATACATTTATATTTATATTTCATAACATTTAAAATAAGTTGGTTTGACTTTTGAGAATCTACCTTTACAAAGTAATAGAGTTTTTAATTTTGAATTTATAATTTGTAATCTTATTTTTAGTAACAAGTGCCCTGTGGGGGGGTATTTGTAAGTTTTTAAGGGTTTTTTTTATCATTTTAAAAACTTTTGGGGGGTCATGAATTTTATAGGGTACCCAGAACTGGAACCGGAATCGTTGTTACATGTTCTGGTTCTGGGTACCTAGGAAATGGAACCGTCGATTCTGGTTCCAATTCCTTCAAAAAATGCAGGGTACCCGGAACTGAACACCCCTAATAATAACCACCCAACTTAACTTTTTCAAAAATCATACTCAAAATAATAAAACAAACACACCCAACAATTTTTTTTTTTTAAAATACATTTTGTTCCTGAGATTTGATCTATAAGGTCCTGAATAATTTGAAAGTACACTTAAGGTTCGTATCAGTCAACTTGATTATCCTCAGCCAAAGTTAACAATGGCAAAAATAGCTTGAATGCTTTACACTACCAAGTCCAATATGGTCATCGAGTTTATTATGGTTTAACATAGTCTAGTGTTATTCGATAGAGATCGTATCCTTCGTATTTTTATTAAGGATACTCTCGGTAAGCTACTTAATTTTACAATTAGTTTTGTCTTTAAATAAAACCTTCACATTATGAGAAACCAAGATTATTGATGTGGTTATATATGTTCAAACCTTCAAAAATTATTCGAATATTTTCTTTAAAATCTAGGGTCAGTTTATTTTATTATTTTGGATAGGATTTTGGGAATAATATTGGATAGTTGAATAGGGGAGTATTACGAGGTCAAATTTAAAAATTTACAAAAAAACCCTAGGTTTGCTAATTTAACTAAACACCCCAATATATAAAAGTTTTGTAAAATGACAAAAACATTTCCACCCATCCACAGTGCCAGATTTCGGCTACCACTGTCGGAATCTGGCCAGAAAATGGCGTTACGACGTAGATCGGTCGGATCTGGCCTTTTCCGGCTAGATTGGTAAATTACCAGCTAGTTCCGGTCGTTTGTAGGCCATTGTGACAGATTCCGACTACCACTGACGGTGGTTGCTAGAATCTGGCAAGTATGGGCAGGTGAGGGTGTTTTTGTTAATTTTTAAACTTTTTTCTGGAGTTATTAATAAAATTAATAAACTTAAGGGGTCTAAAAGTAATTAAAAAATATACTAATATTTCTCAAATAACAAAACAAACAATATTTGGGGAATAAGATTGAGAATATGGGTATAAATAATGTGCCAAAAGGAGCCTAAAATATCCTTGATTTATTAATTTTTGTTTTCTTATAATTAACAAAATTGTCGGTTAATGGTCATTGACTTTATTTATTTATATAATTCTATCAATTTTTAATACTACTTTCAGAAGATTAGGGGTATTTTAGAATTTCACAAAAAAATTTAAACCGTTGATAATTGATAAAGACCTAAGTGTCATTTTCAGATTTAATTGGACGTGATTGTAGTTGAAACTAAATCTCAGGAACGAAAATGTATTTAACTCTTTGCTTTTTAAAAAAATTATCTTTGAGAGGTAAAGTAAAAAAAAAAAAAAAAAAAAGCAAAAAGCGAAGGGGAGTGGAGATCCACTTACTGTTTAGTAAAACAAAGAGAGAGGGACTGGACTGGGTTTCACTCTCACTCACTCCAATCGCCACTGAGAAAAAAGGCAAAGGAAGACAGACGAGACGAGAAGAGACGAGAAGAGAAGAGAGGTTGGATTATTTGTTATTCAAGTAATTCTAGTTATGGAGGTTTAACTAATATGTAATTTCCATTTTTCAATTGTCCTTTTTTTTTAAGTATTTTAAAGAAGAAAGTGCTTGTACTGAAACAGCGAGGAAAAAAATAGCTTTGGCAGGGCGAAGAATGAAACTCAGCCTGAGCGCCATCAGGAACGTTACGCAAGTGGAAAATGGGCAACTGTGGTACTAGAGAGGAATCGGCCGTTGTTACCAATGCTCAAGGTCTTCAGATCTAACTTCTCTTTTTCATTTATTTGTTAATTTTAGGGTTTTATTTTTTAATCATTCGTTTTTGTGGTGTTCGACACTGTTACAGTTCAGCAGCTACATATTTTATCGTCTTTGCCTGTTAAAACCGAGAAGAAGCACAGTCGTTCTGTGTCAGATCTGAGTGATTCTTCTATTCCACGTAATTTAGAGGATTCTAGAAGCAATGCGGTGCTTTATACTCATGTAATTGCCTTCACTTTGTACGAGCTCGAGACTATCACTAAGAGTTTTCGCTCTGATTATATTCTTGGAGAAGGTGGTTTTGGAACTGTTTACAAAGGTTACATTGACGAGAATGTCAGGGTTGGTCTTAAATCTCTCCCTGTCGCTGTAAAGGTTCTCAATAAGGAGGGCCTTCAGGGCCACCGTGAATGGCTTGTATGTCTTTCTGTCTCTCTTTCGTTTCATTGTAATGTTGTTTTTTCAATTAATTAATTAATTGTTTTTCGCAGACGGAGGTCAACTTCCTCGGCCAACTTAGACATCCAAATCTTGTTAAATTGATCGGATATTGTTGTGAGGATGATCACAGGTTACTTGTGTATGAGTTTATGTTCAGAGGAAGCCTTGAAAATCATCTGTTTCGCAGTATGCACCTGTCTTTTCTACTTGTTATGCTTGTTATTCCATATATTTAGAAGCATTGAGCAAATTTACAACTTCTCTACTACCTGTAAATATCTACTATATGCTTAAGTCAAACAATTTGAACTTTTTCACTCCGTGTTGTAGGATCTAAATGCAAATCCTGTTTGGTTTTGATTGCTTAGGAAATTCCCTAGAAGGTTCTACTCATACTCATAGCCTTTTCGTCCTTTTTGGGTGGTGTTATTGTGTTACTCTATTACTTCCATTGTTGAGTGTTGTCAACTTTGCACTTTATATGTCTTGGAAAGTGCTCTTTAAGATAAAAAATTCGCATGAAATACAGTTCATTGTTTCTCAAAACTTAATCAAATGTAGTTAGGATAATAACCTCAAGCAGATAGAAACCACAGATTTTTTAAGAGAAAAACTGCTGATTCCACCCTAATGAAAGGGTAAAATCAAGAATTCATGATCAGGTGTAAGTGTCATTTACACGGAAGAGAAACTTTCAGTTATAATTTTTGTTTCCCATATTCAATAGTTAAGAGCATGTCATACTCAAATGCTTCTTGCTTCAAATGGGGTGTTATTTATCTGTACTATTCATCTTTGGAAGAGGCTTCTACATTGCAATATCAACTTTGAATTTTATTAGACTATTTTGTTAAAATGTTATTTAATTTATTCATATAACATTGTGGTGATCTATTGTCCTGTGTGTGAGTTACTGAGGAAAATAATGCTGACCAAATAATAGCAATTAATTCTGATGACATTAGGGGGCATTATTTTCTACTTAGTTTCCAGTAACATATCAGTTTTTCATTTAAACAAAGTGTTTCCTGATGCATTTAGAGGCAACTGTTCCGCTATCATGGGCCACAAGAATGATGATTGCTCTTGGAGCTGCCAAAGGGCTTGCTTTCCTTCACAATGCTGAAAGGCCAGTTATATATCGGGACTTCAAAACCTCTAATATATTGTTGGATTCTGTGAGTTAAAACTTCAAACATTCCATTTTACAAATTTTCTATTAAGGTCGTGTGGTATATTTGTTCTTGTTCATCAAAGTTTGTTGTCTTGGAATCTTCAGGATTACACGGCCAAACTTTCTGATTTTGGTCTTGCAAAAGCTGGACCACAAGGTGATGAGACCCATGTATCAACTCGAGTGATGGGTACATACGGCTATGCTGCTCCTGAATATGTAATGACTGGTATGCCCTCAATTTTATCTTAGAAATTCCTAATTTATCAGTGCTCTTTTGTCCTAATCTATATAGGAAGATAAAAAGGAAATCTTTAGTTTGAAAGCTGTAATCAACTGGTAGTTGTTTTTGAATCTATGTTCTGTATATAAGGAGAATGAAATCTTTTTTTGATGGCATTGATGATAAGAACTGCATGATAGAGAGGTGGCATGGGATTCTGTGGTGTGATGTTACTATCTGATACAAATTGGATGATATATCATATGGGCCATTTTAAGGTTCTTTACTGGAGTTTTACTTGGGTTGTCTCTTGTATACCTGAAATTTGAGTCTTTCTTCTATTTTTACATTAACATGTACATATTAAGTACCGGTATATTTTCATGTTATCTCCAGAACCAGAAGTAATGCAAAATTTCTTGGTTATGAGAAAGGACAATGTAGTTGATGGGGAACAAGAAATTTGATGAAGAAAAGAATAAGAAATTAATGATTCATCTATTAACTAATAAAAGAACATTAGTAAGAAAATAATGATTGAACTATGAAGTGATAGAACATATGGTGGTAGTTTGACACCGGAAAAAAAAAAAAAAAAGTACAAAGGAAGAAAAAAAAAAAAAAACCATTGATGGAAGGGCAAAATTTCCATACTTGTCTTGTAGTGAGGTTTTGAAAAGTTTTGAGAGACGTTTGTAATGAAATTCAGAAGTGAAAGTGAGGTTTCTAAAAACTTCCAGAACTCTTTTAGTTTGCATTAATTTTAGCCAAAGGGTTGAAAATATCCTGTTATGTTTCTTGATGAAACCAGAAGAGTGGAAGCTTTTGCCTTTGACAATGGTATGAAGTTTAGTGTCATTGTTGATTTCTGGCAACTAAAACTCTTCATTCAATTTCCAAACAAAAATGAAGGAATAAATAATAGATGATACTGAAGACGGGCTTCCACTCTTAAGCACATTACTGTGTTTAGCCTTGTAACACCTCTCAGGAACCAACTGAAATCATGGATTTTTTGAGAAATTGTGATTCCTATCCTTCCCATAGCATTTTTTATTGTTAAAAGTACAAGTGATTAGTGAATTTCAGTAATTTGGTGCATTGTTGAGTGCATCCTACCCTATTATTGACCCCTTGTTCTTCATGCCGACTAATTTTTTGAATTCATTTCTCATGTAATTTGTGGCTTTCCTTTAAATAAGTCAGTAGATGAAGTAGCAGTGATGTCTGTGTTGTGCATGTGAGCAGTTTCATGTTTCTTGTACTTAAAAGAATTCTAATTTCTGCTAGTGCTTGTGCATTAATAAGATCTGAATGAATTGAACAGGCCACCTGACTGCCAGGAGTGATGTATACAGCTTTGGAGTTGTTCTTTTGGAGCTTTTGACTGGAAGAAAATCTGTTGACAAAACAAGACCAAGCAAGGAGCAAAGTTTGGTAGATTGGGCCCGGCCAAAACTGAATGACAAGAGAAAAATGTTGCAAATAATTGACCCTAGATTGGAAAATCAGTACTCAGTGAGGGCGGCTCAGAAAGCCTGTAGCTTGGCATACTATTGTCTAAGCCAAAATCCTAAAGCAAGGCCTTTGATGAGCGATGTAGTTGAAACTTTGGAACCTCTACAATGTACTAGTGATGTTGGTAATGAAGTCTCATTATCACTGACCCCAACCTTTGCCGTTAGTGGTGCTAACGCTTTTGCAATGGGAGGAGTCCCAGGTTACCGGGTGCGTTCTAGGTTCGGCAATAATGTTGGTCCTGGTGCTAATTGTCGATCGCCCAATCCAAATTGTTCGCCCGGTGGTCCTGCAGCATGCAGGGTTAGATGAAAAAATGTGAGCTATTGTATACTTGTTTGGTGTGCGGTTTCCTCTCCAACCCCTTTTCAAGATAACAAAAAATTTCTTGTTAAATCATGGGTGCATTTTCTTCTTTGTACTTAATGTACACTGTACCACTCTGAACCCAAGCCCCCTGTTAATTGTTGCTAGCCAACACGGTGGCTTGTGTCGATTTTCTAATTGTGTTCGTCGAGGAAATTTGCCATGTTAAATATTTGTTCCTCTACATACACATATTTTGAACTTGTAGCTTTTGTTATGAACTGTTAATGCTACTGTTGATATTGCGAGGATAACAAGATTTTGTGGGTTTCTGCAACTCTTGATAATTTAGGGTTATCAATTCTTGATTGATTCTATCTTGAACATGAAAACCCTAACCCTAATTATTTCACTACAAGATGTGTGTAATTTTAACTGCTTATGTGAGAAATGGAAATATCGAACTACTGTAATAGGCTCAAAACTTTGTAGAATCTCTAATTGGTAGCGAAAATATCTAAACTGACCCATGATGTCGAATCAATTATTAATCTCTTCTCCACCACATATTTTTTATGCACAAAATCCCCAGCTCCAACCCTCATCGTCCTCTCTCTCTGTCTGGCTCTTTCTGTCGCTGTATCTGTGTCTCTGGTTGCACGATGAATTATGGAATCAAAGTACTAGCGTTGGTTTTATTGATCGTCCATTTCAGGGCAAGGGTGGCTCAAGGACTAGGTGTTTTGTTTAGATTAAATGTATAAGTATATATATATATATATGTTAATCTGTAATTAATTCACTTACCATAAATGGTTATTAATTATTAAATGCAGATGGAGAACTACTACAGCCAATTGGAGGTACTGAGTACAGAGTTATGGAGGTGGTGGTGGACAATAGACGAAGGCTTACACCATTTCAGCTCTGCTTGCTCTGCAAATGCTGCGGCGGTTCAAGTTCCAGCACCACCACCTGTGTAACCATTCCCTGTTGCTTTGGGATCGACTGCCGGCTTCCCAACAAGCCTTTTGGGGTTTGCGCATTCGTTCCCAAAACCTGCAACTGTACTTCCTGTGCCCATCAAATTTAACATCAAATCTACTGTTATATATATATATCTCATATTTTTAAATCAAACAAGCATTTTCCATTTCTATTCTCTTCACGTAAGTGTTATTGCTTTCATGAAATATCAAGTAAAGGAAATACATATCAGTGGCCAAGCCCTGCTGTTTGAACATTTCATATACATTCATTTAGCTCTAGTTTCCATGTGCTTTCTCGCTCTGCAAATGCATATCAGAAGTTAAGTTAGACATGTGCTTTTCTCAGAAAGTTTAATGCATTGGTGGTGAAAAGGTGTTGGATTTTTCTTTCATTCTTTTGTGTGTGACCTGGAAGCGCACTACCATATAAGATGGGAAGGTTAATCCTCCATTAACATTTGTTTAATTGCATAACCTTATTCCTATCAGATTGCTTTTTCAGTTTTGAGTTTGATGATGGCTGCTGAAACTTACCACTACCAGAGACACTTACCTGAATTCTATCCATTTCCTGATAGAATATATTTAAAAACTAAAAGAAGGTATAATCACTACAATGGAATTTAATTGCTGTCACAAAGTCAATGCTCTGAATGTCTTCATCTTCTTCATTAAAATAAAAATACTTCCATTTCCGAAGATCAAAATCAAACCCCCTTTCTATCCGCATGTTAATATATAAACTACAGGAGTTAATGCAGTACACATTCTCCATTAAGTAAATTATCGTTTTCGCCTTTAGTTCACATTTCTTTATCGCAGTTACATTATATATATATATAAATATATACAACTACCACCACGAACCTAATGCTTTTGCCAAGTGTGATGATATTAGACCACTAGCTACTACTTCACACATGAACATCAAAAACAAATATATTATCCCGTTTTTGCATAATTCTAATCCATTCTTGTCCATCGAGTAGGAGTGAAATCGAGTCGAGTCGAGTCGAGTATCTAGATACTCGAACTCGTCTCGTTTGCTATAGTACCAAGTTCTAGTTCAAGTTCGAGCTTGATTAATAGAGTTCAAACTCGAACTCAGTACCAAAAAGTCAAATTCGAGTTTAGTTAATCGAGTTTTAGTCAAACTTTTTGAGTTTAATTAAGTTTTAGTCGAGCTTAATCGAGCTTTTTGTACAGTAATCGAACTTGACTCATGGGATTATTCGAGCCAAAGCTGAGCCACTCGATTTTCTCCCATACGGTGGAGTATATAAATCAGCATGCATATATACAACGACCACCACCAACCTAATGCTTTTGCCAAGTGTGATGATATTAGACCACTAGCTACTACTTCACACATGAACATCAAAAACAAATATATTATCCCGTTTCTGTATCATTCTAATCCATTCTTGTTCATCAAGTTGGAGTGAAATCAAGCAGAGTCGAGTATCTGGGTACTCGAACTCGACTCAGTTACTACAGTATTGAGTTCGATGAATCGAGTTCGAACTCGAACTCAGTACCTAAAAGTCGAATTCGAGCTTAGTTAATTAAGTTTTAGTTGAGCTTAATCAAGTTTTTTTAGCTTTTTGTACAGTAATTGAACTTGACTCATGGGATTATTCGAGCCAAAGCTGAGTCGAGCTTGAGCTGCTCGATTTTCTCCCCTACCTTGGAGTACATAAATCAGCATGCATATGTACTTTTGATCTCTATAAACACAACAATTTAATTGCAGAGTCATTCATTAATTAGGTTGAAATTTGTTGATGCTTGATTTTAGATACCAATGACTCGCATATGCAAAGTGCTAAAAGAGTCTTAGAAATTACACGTGATGAATCTATGACATTTGAATATGGTAGTGAGATTATATATGTTGTAGAAACGTAAATAATATACTGACAATAGAGGTTTTTATAGTGGTTCAAATGCTTAAAGCAACTCCTACATCCACTGTTATTTTATTATTTTTTGACTATTTTTATGATATTGCCCGTAAGACATACAAAGATGAAGAAATACTCTGCTTACAGAGAGAAAGAATAAAGCTCAAATCTATGCCTAGCTCTCATATGCCCAACCCCCCTTTTCGTGAAGAGAGGTGCTCATTTATACACTTTTTAGGTCAATTTAATGAATGCTTTTGCAAGTTGCTCTGACACATGGAGACTATTCCTTAATCCTTATCTTTTTGTTTTAATAAAGTTGGGATAGGTGTGCGGTCCTCATCCACTCATAGACAAAACTTGAATCTGCTGGGTTAGTGACAACCGTATCCCTTCTATCTTGGGACGATATAGCAGCTCTTGGATGACACAAAGCCTTCATAAACTCTGATTGGTTGGTACTGATATCAGTGCGATTTTTTAGGCACAACAAAATTAATTAACTTGGGGTTTTAGGAGGATTTAATTACTTACCTAATTGCTGGTTTCTGCTTTGTTTCAAGTGAGGAAACTGCAGATGGTTTAGGTAATTGGATGGATGTCTGTCACTGCAATGAAGAAAGTCATCTTTTGTTTTGTCAACAATGTTACGCAAGTAGCTAATCTGGTCTTGTATATATTCATGAAGAAAAATGATGCCATAATATTCAACAAAAAGACTGATTATTTAGTGGTTTCCTGACTCAAAATTTTAAACCAAGTTGCTCTAGTTTAATATCAACCGCAGATTAAATTAATATTAATGCAGGAATAAACCCTCGTCAGATTGGCTGTCCATCATTCCATTCTTTATCTTGCTCTCTTGTTTTATTCACAGAATTCTTCCCCGCAGGATAAAATTAACATTAATCACTGTACGCGTGTGTTGGGAGAATCAAATTGAAATTCTCTGGATAATCAAGACACCATATAAAAACAAGAAGAAAGAAGAAAAATATACACATTCGTACACGATGATTTCATTCTGCTGAGCTTCTTCCAACTAAAACCCACGTTTATATAAAGTCTTGGCCTTTGAATACTGTCCCTGGAGATCAACTTGATGCATAATTTAATGAAAAATTAGATAACGAAGTTTCTTTATCACGACAAAGAATGTGATCACATGAAGGTTTGAATAATCCTCCGCCACTTGATTTATACTATACTATAGTATTATAGCTAGCCCAGCAGCCATTGTTTACCACTCCGTACGATATGAGTTTTCCAGTAAAGCAAAAATCCATTTATTATGTTAAAAAAATAGGGCTGACACGGAGTCTTGTCAGCATGATTGGTTAGAACTTAAAATGGTTCTATGATCGTTTAGATGTGGTCATATTGCATGATGATGTGAGTGACATGCTCTTGTCAGTGTAGTGGGTCTATGCCAGGTTGGCAAATGGTTGGAGATGATCTACGTGTCCAATCTTTATACAAATCGAGAAAATCACTCGGGTAGGTGAGCAATAGGATATAGAGAAAGATTTGCACGGTATCCACCCCACTCACAGATTTAGTAATCATTACCTTGATTCATCCTATTATAAATAGATGTCTCCTCTCCCATTTGTGGGATTGGCTAATTTCACTCTAGAATAGTATACTCTCTCTCTCTCTTGTATTCTCTAAGTTGTAGCTCAACTCGTTGAACGCGGCATAACTTTACTCATTAATACAATATTAGTGGACGTAGGATTCGCCTTGTGAGCATCCGAACCACTTTAAATATTGTTCTTCACCCTTTATTCAATTAAATACTTTCATAACCACGTGTGGTTTCTAAGCCCATTTAACATTTTTCACGTGCGAATAGTTAGTGTCAAAATCAAGCATAAATACTGTTGAATTGACATCTACAGGACTGGGACTGATACAAATGTATACAACAAAATATATAGATGTTAATGATGGGTGTTTGATAATGGCTTCCCAAAGGGAAAATATGGGAAATGATGGTTTCCCTTACTTCCAAGACCGCTAACTTTTGTGTGTCTCAATGTAACATGATTATGCATGAGCAAATTCAGGTAAAAGAGGAGGCTCCTCTTATTAAGAAATGGACTGGACATAGTTTTGAAATAAAAAAAGAAAAAAGAAAACCAGATGAATAAATGGAGGGGGCCTAGGGGTGTTAGTTGTGTAAGCCACTAAGCTAGACAAAAGTCCGAGACAAAGGTCTCTCTTTCCACGCACGTCCTTTTTTTTTTTAATATTAAATTAATCCATTAATTAATTAATCCATCTTTGGAACTGATGAAGTTTGGACTTTGGATTGAGTATATAACTACCACCACCACCGTCTCCTCTCTTTATATATATCAGCTCTCTATATCTATCTATATAACTCTCGTTGAGTTTCTTTCTGGTTCTGGGTACTGCAAAGAAGTTGCATGTTCAGTATGTCTAAAGTATATCCGGCTGAGAACAAACATAATGGTTTGATGATGTCGAAAGAGAAAGTAGTGGAGGTGGAAGAAGATGTAGTACGACGTCGTCCGTGTATGCTGACTGTATGGAAGAGATCAAGCATGAGTTTCCAAGGGACCGACGGATTCACAGTGTTTGATCACCATGGGAGATTGGTTTTCAGAGTTGATAATTATTCAAGGAATAAAGCCGCTGGTCTCGTTCTCATGGACGGAGCTGGGAATGGTTTGCTATGTTTGAAACCCCAGGTAAAAAAAAAAAAAAAAAAATCTTTCTTTTCTCATCATCAATATGTATGCATAGTAATTGACTCTTGACGTTCGTGTTTGATGGGCAGATGTTAAGCATGCAATACCAGTGGAACGCATACAGAGAAGAAGAAGAAGAAGAAGACGACCATGGAAAGAGGTCTAGAGTGTTCTCAATGATGAGAAGGTCGCCGGTGTTCTTCCACAACGGCAAAGATCAAGCGGACGTTTACATGGGAGGGAATAAACAAGCTCAGTCGAATAGACCGGATTTCACAATCGAGGGTTCTTTCAGGACTCGAAATTGCAAGATCAAGAATGCAAATGGAGAAGTGGTGGCGAAGATCTCTCGAAAGAGAGTCAACTCAACGATTTTACTAAGCGACGATGTCTTCAACCTGGTAGTTCAGCCTGGTTTTCCCACTCATTTAGTTATGGCGTTTGTAATAGTATTGGATCGCATATGCAGCAAGCCATTTGCTCCAGTTTTGTGTTCTTAATTGAGACTAAATTCTTCCCTTTCCTTGTACAAATTATAGTTTCATAATAAGTTCATTTATACCAAAATTTTCATTATCCCCCCCATACATCCCTCTAAATCAATGATATAGTCGGACGCACTATTTTGGCCATGCAAGTGCAACGGATTTATAAAGGATTTGACATTTAACATAGATTGTCTTTCTTTAGACAAAGACTCTCTTGTTTTTTCCACTTTTTGGATGATGTCAAATTCTTATCTTCTAAAAGAGAGGTTTACGATAACTTCTTTTAAATCGCGATCGTTAAATTCAAAGTTTTTGAAGGATTAGTCGATGTATGTACAAACCGACTCAAATACCCTTAATCATCCTGTACAAAACTACAAATTTATAATCTGATTAAGATAGCTAGTTGAACCGGTGAAAATTATACCTAGTTTTAACTTTTAAAGAATCAAGAGGGAAGCTAATAAAGACCTTAAAATCCATTTATTTATAGTACAAAACAATATTAATGGCAAGTGTTAATACTCTTGGAAGATTCTTCTTTACCTATATTCCTAATCTATTCTCCAAATAATGTTTAAAGAGAAACAGTAAACATTTTAAAGAGATAGCGGAGGTATTATATAAGAAAACAGCTTAGGGCATGTTTGGCTTATTATTTTTAATCTATATTCCTAATCTATTCTCCAAATAATGTTTGGCACATTATTCCAGAAATATTATCCTATTTTTTTAATTACTTTTAGACCCCATAAGGTTATTAATTTCACCAAATACACCCTGAAAAAAGTTTAAAAATTATCAAAAATACCCCCGTAACTCATACTTGCCAGATTCCGGCAACCACCGTCGGTGATAGCCGGAATTTGTACAACGGCCTACCTTCCGACCAAAAATGGCTGGAAGTTCACCGATCTAGCCTTTTCCAAATCTGGTCGTGAACGACGGCCAAAGAAATGGCCGTCGTTGACCGAAAACGACAGCCATATCTTTGGCTTACGGCCAAAGATGGTCGTCGTTTTGGCCTTTTCCGACCGTCGCAGCCACAACAGGCCGTAGATTTGACCTTTTCCGGCCAGATCTGTAGTAGATCTGGCCGGAAAAGGCCATAATGACGCGTTACGACACAGATCTGACCGGTCTGTGTCATAACACAATTTTTCGACCAGATTCCGACAGTGGTGGCCGGAATCTGGCACTACAGGTGATGGGAGTGTTTTTATCGTTTTATATATTAGGGTATTTAATTAAATTAACAAACCTGGGGGCTTTTTCATAAATTTTTAAATTTTACCTCGTAATACTCCCCTATTCAACTACCCAATATTATTCCCAAAATCCTATCCAAAATAATAAACCAAACGCACCCTTAATAATTTGTTTAATAAAATAATACCCTAATATATATGCCATACAAGGATCTTTTCACTTCAAAATTTTCTTACTGGAATTAACTTGTCATTTGCCTCAAAAGAAGAAGAAGAAAAATTTTCTTTCTAATATTTATTTCCCAGAAAACAGAGAATTCACATTCAATCCTCTTTCTGCTAACCTAATTAAAAGGAAAAAGGGGCTGCCAATGACAACAAACATAGCAGACAGAATTGCTCTTTTCATCTGAGTAGAAGCACTTTAATGGGTACAATAAAATCAGTAATGCATAAAACTGAAGCAAGCTCTTATACATATGACAGGCTGAACCTCTACCCTAAACTCTCAATTATCGCCTTGGAATCTAATTCCAACAAAGTGTGGTCCAAAATTAGAAGTACAGAATTCCGTGACAAGATTGACTCAGCAATCGCATATGATCTTCAATCACTTATCTCTATCGAGTCATCCATCATGTTAATACACTGATAAATCCATTCACTACTTTAGTAAATATGCATCCACCAACCTATGTGCACCAGATGGTCTGATACATCAATCAATCATCAGACAAGAAAGTCTTGCCTTCATAATACTTTTTCTCACTAGCTGCCTTTTTCTCGTTTCGCTTCTGCAGAAAAGAAAGAGGGTAAAGAAAAATCTTAGGTTAAAACACAAAAACACAATGGCAGAGATAACACGCGTCTTAAAAATGGAAAGAATCTGATAACCACAGGGTCAGACGAGCTGATTATAGGTTAAACCTCATAACAAGCACAGGGCCCCTCTGTTCAATCATTTCTATCAGACATACAGATCAGTCGTAACACAATTTTAACATGATATTCATTTCAAGTGGACACAGTCAACAGGAATGGATCACATTTATTCAGCCAACAAATTGGATGCCCATCACATATTCCAAGGTTGGAGGACAATTAATAGGTCTAAACAGGGACTAGCCATACTAATGACAGTGGCAAGAAAATGACATCTTAAAAAGGTCATTTTTCCGGTTCAAAATAAGGCATTGATCATGGTGTGATTGCTGCACAGAAAGCTCCTTTATTCAGTCAAGTGCTATCATGGTCATACATTTGTAACTCTCGACAGAATTGGTGACTGTAAAAGGTTGCAAATTTTTTTTTTTTTTTTTTTAAGTATCAGAGATAACAGGGTTTGGAAGTGAACCTGGTATGCCTCATGATTTGCAACAATCCTTCTGATTATCGTGGTAGTTGTGATATCCAGTGGGCTTTCCAAAACTTTAAAGATACCCATGCTAATCGGAACTGCATATGGATTGTCACTCTCCTGTATAACAATGAAATGTCAGAAAAATTGAGCATATTGGAACCTTATTAATAAATGTAATATAACTTTTAAAGGAAAATGACGCATGAATAATTTTATAAATTTAAAAAAAAAAGATAAACACCCAATGGACGTTAGTTGTTTCAATATGGGACAAAAGCAAAGAGTCATACCAGGCCACAAAAATAAAAAATAATATGTAACGCCGGTCTTTCACGAGCAAAAGCTACAAAACTTGCAGCCGTTTCTTTTTGACAGATTGGAATGTTTCGCACCGTTAGATTTTATTTTTTCATGGGACCCAGATGATAGTGACGTTTAGTTGACTATTTTATTATCTACCAATGCCATTACCAAGTTGTGGCGTTTGGTTTACGTTCACCTGTCGTTTTCATCGTCCTGTCTTTTTCGAACTTAATGGCGACATGGGAATATGTAAATGAAACTCCGCGGAGTGATGGTGTCGACACTATAGTGTCACCGCTGGTCACATGAACTTTTAGTGAAGCTAGGTTATGTGACGCAAATAATAAGAAGCACAATAAAAGTTGTGGGCCGGGTCCATATTGAAAATTTGAAAATAGTGGCCTTGCCTAATAATAGATAATGTTAGATAATGTTGGATATGGTGTTGTTGTTGGTGTATACTATATACTTCTCTTAGTTTTGACAGACTATTTATTTAAGACAACTAATTTTGGGCTTGATTTAGGTTATAAGTTCAAATGAGATTAGATTTCTATTATGTATTTTTTGTAATAATTAAAAACATTAGATGTGAAGATAGAGCAAAGAGTGAGTTACCAATATTATTCATCTTTTGTATTCTGTAGTTTTCTGATACTCAATAAAATCGTTTTGTTTGAATGTTGGACATAGATTCTTAAAAAAGGAATGAACCAGAGTAAATTATTGTGTTCAGTTATTATTTTATGTTTTTCTTATGAGGTGTTTAGCTTTCAGAGTTCACAAATTTTCCTTTACTACTTTTATTTCACATGAAGATTTAATTTTAATTTACACGATTTCTGTTAATTGAAAACGTGGATTCATATATCATTCATCAATCACATGGCTACTAGATTTGGTAGAAGTGGTAACAAGTGATAGGTGAAAATATTTGCCAAATGTGGCATAACATTTGAAGATGATTGCATAATACGAAATGGATAAACTAGAATGTTGGTGAAAGCACAATAAGTTGGGCCAAGGGAGATTATTCTAACGTATGTATTTATCCTCTTATGGAAAAGGATTCATAATATATCTATTCTTTGGATAATCATCAAAGCCGGCTGGCTTTGGATAATGCATGCATGGCTTTGGCATGGGTGGGGGATCACCCCCTTTTTTTGTTTAACAAGGAAACAACACAATTCTTTAGCTCCTAAGTTTGACAACGATGGCTTCTGCATTATAAATTTGTCCTCGTGATTCTCATCTTTTGCCAACTTCTCATCGAGTCCTGAAGCTACTAGGAACATGGTTGTGGCTAGGGGTGAGCATGAGTAAAGGATAGAACCAGAACTGGCCCTGTTAGGATCTGGTTTCAGTTTTGAAAAATTGGAATCAGGAATTCTCGGGTCTGGTTCTGATTCCAATAGTGTTGGAATCAGGAATCAGAACCAAGGTCTAGGTATCTGGGTAGGAACTAGGACTGAATTATAATTTTTGTAAACTGTTAGGTGTATTTGTCATTTTTTAAAAGTGGGGGTAATTAAAATTAACCTGGGTACCGAATCGGAACCAGAACCTATGTTTCAAGTTTCGGTTTCATCTAGGAATTCTGATTCCAGTTCCCTAAAAAAATACAGGGTACTAGGAACCAATCACCCTTAGTGGCTATAATGTAGTCATGTAAAAGTGCATGTTACAAATTTTATATTGTGAGTTTACAAGTTTCATGTTTATGTATTATTATAGTAATGTACTTTGACACAACCCTTAGGGTTTGCTTGGGTGTTTTATGGTAGCAAGTATGAGGGTAAACCATCGTAGCGGTTTTGAGGGTAGACCATCATAGCGGTTTTAAGGGGTTTTTAGTAGCGGTTTTTAAAACATCCAACCTCTGCTTGGAAGTTTATTTTCCAGCGGTTCTAACAGTTTTTTAAAATGATAAATTTACATATATGCCTATAAAAATACCCTAACTCTAACAAGTACTTGGGAGTTTTGTTTTTTCAATTATAAGGTAAGAGTTCTTTATTTGTTTTCTACTTATTAGTATTTTATAACTTCAAATGTGATAAAGTCTTCTTATCCTTCTTCATCATTCTTTGCAGCATCTGGAATGATTGAAAAATTGTAATTCCACTTCTCTAAGAAAGCATCTAGAAATGAGATTTTAATATTTTTTTTATGATTAATTTTTTTTTTTTGATATAATTGAGATAGTTTTATAGTGGATAGGATATTTGTGGAATAAAATTTTAAAACCAATCAAAACGCCCCAATTTGGAGTGTTTTATAAACCCCTAAAAAATACACTATACTAGTTATGGGTGTTTTCGAGCCAGTCAAAATTAGTGCATAAAAAAATCTGACAAATAATAATTTTAAAATACTTTAAAATCAGTATAATTAAAAACCCAAAAAAAAACAATGGAAAAAAAACTCCCACGACCCTCAATCATATCCAAAGGATGGAAGTGGACAAAACTACATGGTGGATTCAAATTAAGCTAATGGTTTGATCTCCATCTCCAGGAAAAGGCTCAAAGATATAACCCAAAATATATCAGAAAGTAAAACAATCCTTATTCCTTAGAAGTAAAAGCCCATGAATTTGTGGCCCAAAATTACAAGGCTCAAAATCCAGAATCAAAACGAATCAACCCGGAGTCGGTTGCTCGCTAAGCTGCACCTACTGGTCAGAAGCTCGTCGTCTCTCGCAACGCAAATTTTACGCACAGAGAGAAATTAAACAACCAAGCGACGACTGGTAGGCTGGGCATGGACCTCTAAACTATTTCCCACTTAAACCTAGTCATCGTCAGAAGATTCCATAAAAATCTAAACTTTCATTTACAGCAGGCCCCAAATTGAATCCAATTTCAAATTCAATGTCCTCCTCTTCATCAGCACCATCCTCAGATGACGAACTCAACCCTAACCCTAGCCCTAAACCAATCGAAGACGAGTTGTCATTGGCGTCAGTAATATTGACCGAATCCAACGGTAATGGATCAGTGAATGAGAATAGTGAATTGGCGTGGGGGAGGAAGAGTTCTGAGGTAGAAGTGGAGGCGGATGGGTCTTCCAGTGCTAGCAGTAGTGGGTATGCGGGAGAGAGAGGGAGCAGTAGCGAGACGAGTAATTCGAGAATTGATGAGGATGAAATACAGGAAGTGAGGAATGATGATGGTTTTGGTGATGGAGTTCACGATTCTCAGGCCGCTTGGGTGCCTGGTAAACGCCACGTTGATGAGGTGAGTCAGTCGGTTTTGGTTGTGCTTTGTTGATTTGGAATGTGTTGAATTTTGATTTTGTAAATTGTTGGAGAATTTGCTGTCCAACTGAGTGTGGAGAAGGTCTTGCAATTGATTTCTCAATGACAGGAAATGATGGACCAAGAGTGGGAGATTTCTTGTTTGTGTAGTGCATTGTGGGAAGTTATTGTTTCATTGAATATGAAAATTTTTACATTTTGTTTAAGATGTTGAAAGTTTGATGCTTAATGTAATGGACCGGGCAATTAGTATATTGAACATTGTCAGTTTATTGTTGGCATTTTTTTTTTAAATGTTACAAGTTTGATGCTCAATGTGATGAGATGTGCTATTGTCCTTAAAGAGTTCCAGTATTCCTGTATAGTGTCCACAAGTGTAATGTTTCTAGATAAAAATTTAGCAATGTGTCTAGCAGGCAGTGTACTTTTAACATTTGAAGACTACACACACACACCCAAGAGAGCTATGGGAATTGCACATTAGCAAATAGTTATGGAGTTCAAGCTCTATAAAGAGTGAAGTTGAGACGAGTAGAAGGATCGTATAGTACTAATCTTCTGTTTATGAGTATATTTTTCAATGTTATATCCTGTTTGATTTATAAATAAAGTGCAGGATGATGCTTCCATATCATGGAGAAAGAGAAAGAAACACTTTTTCATTTTGAGTCACTCTGGGAAACCAATATATTCCAGGTTTGTCTCTTGTGCTTATGAAATTCAGCATTCTGTAGTGCTCAAGTTGCATCCATCTTGATTCACAGTGGAGGAAAATGTTTTAGTATCTGTTTCAGTTTTTCATTGCATCTTTCATTGACTTCCAGATATGGAGATGAACATAAGCTAGCGGGCTTTTCAGCAACATTACAAGCAATTATTTCCTTTGTGGAGAATGGGTATGTGGCTGCATCTGTTGCTTTATTTTAATGAATTCACAATGAAGCATGTATCTGTTCTCAGGGTAATCTTTCTTAGCAGTTGTATTACTGAATTTTAGTACTTACCTCCATTAATTGCTTTACTGTTTTTCAGTGGTGATCGTGTCAAATTGGTTAAGGCAGGGAAGCATCAGGTGTTTTTGAGTTTTCACTTCTTCTAGCTGATTTAAATTTTTACTTCAAGCTCTTAACGTTCTAATAAATCTTTGTTTCTTGGGTTCTGATAAAAACTGTGTTTTTGTTTCCTTGCTAATATAACATTTAAATTGAGTATTTTGAAATGTATTTTGTCATCCTAAATTCCAAGAAAGCAACAATGGCAAGATGCAATGTAATGGTTAGCTTAAATGTCTTTTCTTTATGCCTTGTGGTTCTGCATGAGTTTGCTGATGTTATAATTCTCATTTAGAGAGTGAAGTCTTGATTTTTTGAATCTGTTGACTTAGATTGGGTTGACATTTCTGTGTGTCCAGGTAATCTTTCTTGTGAAGGGACCAATCTACTTAGTTTGCATTAGCTGCACAGAAGAGCCTTATGAATCATTAAGGGGACAATTAGAGCTTCTATATGGCCAGGTTATTACAATCTCCCGCTTAGAATTTTGATTTCTGGCAGCTGTGTTTTACCTGTTGCTGTACCAACAGATTGTGATTTACTTTGTTAATTACCCTTTACATTATTAGGCCAGTACAGTTTTAATAAACCAGAATCATTTTGATTGTTCCACTGTCATTTGATTGATATGGTATCAATGCAGATGATACTTATTTTAACAAAGTCCGTAAACAGATGCTTCGAGAAGAACCCAAAGTTTGATATGACACCCCTGCTTGGAGGAACGGATGTTGTCTTCTCATCACTCATTCATTCTTTCAGCTGGTTTGTTTCTCTGACCTTTTTGTGAATGTTTATATTTGTTTTGACCTTTTTTTTTTTTTTACCCCTTTGTGGGTTTCCTTATTTTTTTTTTTCTATCTTCGTTCAATTACCTCTTTTCTCTATTTTATAGGACAAAAGTTGTTGAAATCTCTCTAATTCAGCAGAATTTTTTCAGTCAGCTGGGTGTGGTTGCTTATTTGTTTAAATTGAGCACCAAAAATAAATAAATAAAGAATTTAGGATTTAAAATGGTGTAACGGTTAAATATTCCAGGTTAGGCTGTTTCTGTCTGGCACTTATCTTGAATTTCTTATGCTTTGATTTAGGGGTATTATACTATAAAGGTATAGTGGTAAGGTATGGTTTTGGGGCTGATATATATAAAATAAGCCAAATCGATAGATGCTATTCCTAGGTAGTAAATAGTGAGAGTGATAATTTTGGGATTGCTGATTTTAGGGTTTATGCTTGAAAACCTAGTTAGGGTTTCAGAATAAATCAAAACTTCGGAGATTAGGTAGTGGTAGTCTAGATCTAGTTGCTGAGAATACGAAGAAGAAGCCCATAAATATATGTGTGTGTGTTTGTGGACTTTCTGAAGTTCAATGTGCGGACAATGGTCGCTGGCTTAAGAAAATGTAGAAATCAAAGCTAACAACTAGTCACTTACCTTTAGCTCGAATTTTAAGAACTTAATGATTTCAATACCTAAATTTTTTCATATATGTTTGTATACAACTCCGTATGTTCCTATAACTAATTGCACTTTGGAATACCCATACTTCACCTTTCATGATTGTAAGTTGGATGACACTGTTGAATTAGCCAACCATTTCTTCCTTGTTAGGAATCCAGCCTCCTTCCTTCATGCATATACTTGTCTCCCCCTCGCTTATGCAACAAGGCAAGCTGCTGGTGCTATATTGCAAGATGTTGCTGATTCAGGTGTCCTGTTTGCATTGCTAATGTGTAAATACAAGGTAAAATCCCCCTCATTGCTCTTTGGTCTCTCTCTTTCTTTGTAAGCACTTCAATTTTTAAGGTCTCATTGATCTTTAAGTCTATAATCTTTTGATGCCAATGGTATTTTCTCACTTGGAGTTAAATTCCAGGTTGTGAGTCTTGTTGGTGCACAAAAAGCCTCTCTTCATCCTGATGATATGCTACTTCTTTCCAACTTTGTTATGTCTTCAGAATCATTCAGGTAAATAGATTGACTTTGATGAGTCTTGCATCATCTTTTGTTGATTAACTTGGCATGGGTGTTGTGAAAGTATAAAATGACTATGGACTCTAAGGAGAAGTCTTTGGGCTCTGCTATATATTGACTTGTTTATTTGGAAATACTTTCCATGTGTTGCTATAGAAATAATGCTGGCAGTTTAAGCTTGGCAGTTGATAATGTTGGCTCTCTATCTGATTATGCTGTTGATGAATGAACTTATTTCATGGATGCTTGTTAAGTAATATTAATTTCATGAGTAGGATGTGACATTTCTATTGAAGTTAATTTTTTTATGAGTATATTCTTTATTTTTCCTGTCATGTGATGTGCTTTAGCATGCCTTCTTTATAAAAATTAAAAAGAAAGTCAAAATTATTAATTTTCTCTTAATTGCACATCTTCTTTTCTTTCTTACTGACCTTGTATGGAAAACTTGATTGGCGTCAGCCTATCTCATAACGATCGGTCTAGTTCCATGTGATCCTTGTCAGCTATATATTACAGTTGATTAGCTTAAAAGTTGTAACATTCTTTACATATTTATAAAATTAGGGACTAGAATATTCACAATTGGAATTATCCTTGTATTCTGTTGGCTTGGACTTAATGTTTGCGATTTCTGAATTTCTTTGTGGTGTTGAGTCTTACTTGGTTTTCTGGATTTTTGCAGGACATCTGAATCTTTCTCACCAATTTGCCTGCCAAGATATAATCCCATGGCATTTTTATATGCTTATGTCCATTATTTTGACGTGAGTGAGACAAGAATCACAAAATTTAATCTCATACAATTCCACCACTTAAAGTTTTGTCTGTGATTGTTGGAGGAATGGTTTTGTCTTTTATTTTCTTCTTCTTCTTTTTCGTCCTACTGGTGGAGAAAAAACTGAAATTTATAGTACTTAAAGCAAATTAACAAAAAGTGTAGACAAGGAGTCCACTGAAACTAAACAGCTAAAATATAAACAGCAAAACATCTAATGAAACCACTGCAGCATCCCAACTAGATTGGGAAAAAGGGAATATCTCTTGAACTTTTTAGAAACCGAAGCGTACAAGAGAGCAAGAAAATGGAATATCTCTGAATTTCTCCTCTTTAATTATCTTTTTCACATCCCATATTCATCATTGGCATTATCAGTGTGTTATCATAACAAGAGAAGAATTTATTTGGCAATTTCATGTTCTTATGACAGGTGGACACATACCTGATGTTGCTTACTACTAGTTCGGATGCCTTTTATCATCTTAAGGATTGCAGGTAAACATTGCTGTTGAAATCTAATAAGTAGTATTTGTGGATATAGAGATATGTGTTTCAACTTTCAACTTCTTTGATCAATTATAGTTTTTGTCTGTTGTAACCTTGTGATTGTGATATGGTTGGTATCCAAATACCCACATGCCCAAAAAGAAAATAAAAAAACCTTAATGAGCTCATGATTGTAGCAAATAGATATTATCCGGAGACATTTGACTTAAATCTTTTATAGGATTCGTATTGAAAGTGTCCTTGTGAAGTCAAATGTTCTTAGTGAAGTTCAGAGATCCATCTTAGAAGGGGGAATGCGGGTCGAGGATTTGCCTATTGATCCACTGCCTCGTTCTTCGATATCTCATCATTTGAGCCAACAGAGGCTTTTAACAGATTCTCATGAAGGGTTTAGTGAATCAGTTTTTGGTATTGGTGGTCCTTCTGGACTTTGGCATTTTATTTATCGCAGTATATATCTGGATCAGTATGCGTCTTCTGAGTTCTCACCACCAATTAGCAGTCCTCAACAGCAGAAAAGGTAATTGCTTAATCATTTCTCAGATCTTTTAGCATTATTAGTTTTGGTTTTTATTGTCTGTTGGATAACTAGTTTCTTGCTTGCAGATTGTATAGAGCTTACCAAAAACTTTACTCTTCCATGCATGATAAAGACATTGGGCCCCACAAAACTCAGTTTAGAAGAGATGAAAACTATGGTAAAAGTTTCCTCTCTTCTTTATTTTAGATTACATCTTAAAATTTCAGGATACATCTAATTATCTGCTTGAGCAGTTTTTTTCATTTTGCACAGGCTATTCTTCTTATCTCACAATTTTTTACAAAGTTTACACACAATAAATGGCATCTCAAACCAAGAAATTTTGGGATTTTATGGAAAATGAACTTCATGGTAGAACAGAAAATGATGCCAAGTTGTTTGAAAATTTTGTGCTCTCATCCCACAGAAATAAATGCCTTTCAGAGGTTCTCATTTCATACATTTACAAGTTGAAGCCATTAGTGTTTATGGTTTGATGGACCTGGGTATTTCTTTTGATCATTTACAGTTGAAGCTTTGTAGCTAATTCATAGACATAAGCAATATTTTCCGGGACCAAATACTATGAAGTTTCTGCTGTATTCAAGATTGGACTTTTGTTGATGGATCCTCTTTTGCAACGTTGCTAACTTAATTTCTTCTTTTGATTGAATAACATTACTTGTTCATATATATGCATGCTTGATCGGAAGGCTTTACTGTTGAATTTATACAATTGCTTTCATGTGGCAGTTCTTCTTTGCTGGGTCACGCAGGATTTTGAACTTTATGCAGCCTTTGATCCACTTGCAGATAAGGTTTGCTTTTTGATCATGCAGATGAAAGATTTCTTTTCTAGTTATAACTTGTAAAGAAGTTTAGCTCTAATATCTTCAAAATGAGTTATCTCTGTGAAAAGTGTAATTATTGAAGTCTTCATGGATAATTACTGGTCAAGGCAATTTTACTTGGGAAACTATATTTTTGATACGGTAATTAACTTGTTGATATCTGTAAACCTTGAAAGACTTTCTTTACCTTTATCCTTCATAGATATGCATCAATTAAGCTAGTTTGGCAGGGTAAATCTGCAATGTCTGTTGTGGTTCATTTTATCGGGTATGTAACAAATTTTTGTGGAACTGAATGTGCAGGCTTCGGCTATAAAGACTTGCAACCGGGTTTGTCAGTGGGTGAAGGATGTGGAAAATGAGATATTTTTGCAGGGAGCAAGCCCCTTTTCATGGTGATATCCCAAATTATTCTGTTACACAGCATGTACCCTAGTTTTGTTTATTTAATAAAAGCTCATATAATTTTTTTTTTTCCCACTCCGCTACAACTGCATGATGGCTATAATTAGTTACTTGTTTGTATGATTACCTTCTTAAGGTTTTTGTCCAATTGATAACCTCTAAAAGTAGTCGTTGATATGTACACTAATTAAAGTTAGGCAGTATTTTACTAGTAAATATCTGAATCGATAGACAAGGCCTGCCACAATCCAAACAGTTGAAAATTACATTTAAAATTTGGATTTAGTGATGTGGGAAACTGACATGAAGTCGTTGACCTGTGTGTGCACAGCATCAAAGGTGAATGTGCAAGTATTAAAGAGGTTGGATAATGTTTTTATTGTTACACTATCATGAATGACTATTTTGTTCTTTATGCCCTTTTATTGGTTCCTCAATGGTTTGCGGGCCTTTAAAGATTTAATCGCAGTTGCAGTGTAGAGTCTTAAGTGTTAAGTGAAACCTCCCCAGTCCATAATACACCAGAACAGAATCAAGCCTTTCTTTTTTAAATAAAATATTTTTTAATTTTTTAATTTTTTAAGATATGCAGGGGAATTTTATAAATTAGAGAATGGTGACGTGATTAACGTGTCCCGTCCCGCGTACAATTCGTGGGAAAATGCTGTAATTATACCATTCCATTACCTTTCTCAAAGACTTATTTTTTATTTGAATTCAACCTCATTATGCAATTTTTGAGAATCTGAGATTCATTAATATGTACAACTTACATTGAGTTTTCTTGTAATTTTCCTAAGAAGTCAACTTCGGCTGAGCTGAGCATATCGTGGAATAATGCGGCGGCGTTGTTAGACTAATATGTTTGGTTTCTGATTCCATGGATTGACTTGTTTACACGTCTACGAAATGTCGGGCTGAAGTTTTTTTTTTTTTTTTTTTTTCCTTCAATTTTCAAAAAATTTAATATTTTTGGTGGGGCTTAATTTTCGTTTATTTTATAAGATTTTCGTGTTTGGTTTACAAGTAATAAAATATTACAGGATTTTTTTATTGTAAATAGTGTTTACTGTTAGTAATGTGGGGATAATCCGATACCCTCCCCCACCCCTAGGATTAAAACATTACCAAGTAATTTAATTTTTATACTTATTTTGTCTTTAATTAAATATCATTTCGGACACAATTGTTCTTAAATATCTACCAAATAACAATTTGCCCTGCCCCCATACATTTGAGAAATTATTTAAACACTCGAGCCACAAAAAGTTTAAAAATTAACAAAATACTCCCAACCACCTAAGACCACCGCTGACCGTCGGTGTCAATCGCCGTAATGGTGCAAGACCGGTGGGATCTAGCCGGTCAAATCCATGGATAGAAACAGTTAGATCTAGCCGTTTCATGGACAAAGATATGGCTGTGAAAAGGTCATGAAACGGTCGTAGATATGGCCATGAAATGACTACCATTTCACGGCCTGAAATGGCCACATCTTTGGCTGTGAAATAGCCATGGATTTGTGATTCAGGGTTGGAAATGGCTTTGTTGGCTCACGACCGACCATATACGGCCATTCGTGTGCCATTTCGTCAACTGCTAGCAACGACTGGCAGTGGTGGTTGGCTGTCGACAGTAGTTTGGGGTGGGTGGGGGTGATTTTGCTACAAATTAAGGTTTTATATGGTTGTGTTATTTTAGCAGAATTTCAAATATAAGGGTTAAAAGAAATTATTCAAAAAATAATAATAAATTATTATTATTAAATAATATTATATTAATATTTAAAAAGAATGATAATTTAGTAATCCATATAACATACTAACTAATTTATCCTCTCAACCAAACAATCCCTATAGTTTCGACCTATAAACCATGCCAAGAATCGTGAGATCAACCTCCCAAAATCATGTCATCCCTAAAATTTCTCCGGCAACAATTATAATTTGATTGTATAAAAACCCTTGAAAAAAGAGAGAAAAGGNACGTAGTAGCTCCTAAACGATGCAAAGCCTTCTTGAACTTTGATTGATGTTTACTAATATAAGCTTACGTCAGCCTTGATTTTTTAGGCATAACAATAATGAACTTCTTATAACTGAAATTGATAAACATTTTATTTACCATATGATAGAAAGTGGCTATGGAATATGCAATTCTAGTTTCCCATTTCAAGTTTTAACATTTATCCTATTATTTGCAAGACTACATCCAAGCTTGGTTTCCTAAATGCATCATCTTGAGATATAAATCAAGTAACGAGAAAATAACCTTGCATTTGGTGAGATATTATCAATGTTTTAAAACCTGACCTGTCCCGATTGGTTGAATCAGAACTTTCACCAAGTCAGGTTAGCAATTTTCCTATTCACTGAAAACCTTAGAAATTGAAATGGTTATTGACGAACGATTGAAGATTAAGATGTTAGAGCTTTTGAAGAGGAAGAGCTGTTGAGTGCAATGATGAGGAAGATGATTTCCAGTTAGTAAATCAACCAAAAATCGAAAAAAACTCGTAGCGACAACAACCGCCTTTTACTAGCAATTGGCGAAATGAACAGGAGTAGGATGAGATGAGTTTTGGTCAAAAGACTGAAGAGACTTTTCGTAGTGATGAAAAGGGTTGTCGACGCTAACGGTGGTGAGATCTAACCAAAATCGAACCGATTTCGATCAAATATTAGATAGATTTTTTGGGGAATGGCTCAAGGAAAATTGGGCTTACGTTTTAGGAGTCGTTGCCACCAACTAGTCAACCACCGATTTGTATTCAAGATGTGTTTGTTAAATTTTAAACTAATTGAGACTTAACTTTATTTTTAAAGATGTATTTACCGAATTTTAAACTTTTGGCAGCGAGTCAAACCACTTAAACTGGTCAACCTGAGACCTCACAATTTTGCTGGGTTTGGTTATTAAAACATTGGATATTATTATAAATGATATGATGTATATGCTTCACGTACTAAAACTTTTCAAATAGAATAATGCTACATTCACATCACTCTTTTATACCATTTTCATTACATCATGATGTGACATATGCTACAACCACACAAATTTTATTATAATATTAAAAATTCATAATAATTAAAAATTTATGTGATTGTGGTATATACCACATCATGATGTAATGAAAATAGTATAAAAGAGTAGTGTAAATGTAGCATTATTCTTTCAAATATGCACCTAATCGTGCTTTTATGTAAAATATAATGATCCAAGGATCATATTCACCAGAATTAAAACTTCAAATATAGTTGGTTTTATGTCTTCCAGATTCAAATTGCAACCAAGATCTTCATGCAAACATAAGTTTTTTAAAACAACATTACTGTATGCAGAGAAAAGAAGCCAGAGTTTCCAACAATGCGATTAGTATATTAAGAATACCCATTTCCTTCACTAGTGACTACTCTACTGAATTTGAACTGGTTTCTTCTTTCTCCAGCTTCTTATCCGCGACATCACTGGGAAGATCCAACCCAGAAGGAAACTTTCCTGGATAATTTACCGTTGAGGGGTCCGACCCAGTCATACTGGAGAAAAAAATTGAACTAATGAGAACCTGAACTCAACAAAACAAGATATTGTTTTAGCCGTAAAAACAATAATTGCACAAACCTTCTGTCAACGATGACCATGGAGCGAAGCTCACAATTAGCAAAACTGCAAGTGCATGTCAAAAATGTCATTTCATGCGCAAGAGTCTAAAACACAAACGTACATGACTGAAGAAAATAACAATTTTGTTGACATGCAAGATGCAACGAGATTACACATGCACGAATGAGGAACAGTATAGCTTACTGTTTGCATATTTCTGCCTTCACAGAAGGGTGACAGTCATTTCCAAATGCAGTTAATGTGTGAAACAAGAATCCACTATGGGTGACAATTGCTATCTCTTTCTCTTTACGTGTCCACAACCTGCAAAGCAGGGAGGAGAAAGATTAAGGCCTAGACGGATTCACATCAAATAAATCATCTCAATGCATGTAGTAACTTTTATATGAGAATAAACTATACAACTTATACCATATAATCAGCCACGAGATTGTAATTTTCCATACTTATTGGTAATAATCGTCACTTGACATGATTCCCAATTAACAAAATCATGCAGCTTCTAATAGAAAATTCAATGGTGAATGTACTGGATGATGAGATGTACATAAATGCAAACAAAGACTAAAACTAGTAGTTCAAAAGAGGAAGTGATCCATTAGAATGATCTTCTTGCTTTTGAAAAGTTGTAACTAACATTAGCAAAAAGAAGACAATGATAAAACTTAAGATGTCAAAAACAATAATAACATAGAAGGACCATCCCACTTTATCAATCACAATGTCTACAGCTATATATTTAACAAAAATCAACACATAAAATATTTGGGAATTATCCTGAAGGACCAAATTTCACACAAAAGGTTTTGATAAAGTTCACAGTTAACAGTCTCTGTAAGTTATATTTGTACATGAGGTTCTGAGCCAGAGCCCCATGCACCGGAGAACGGGGTATTACCAGTTCATGAATTTCAATCCCCTGGCAGCAACTTCTTCCTTTGTCTCTCTAACATTGGCCTTCCACCATACATCTTCATCACTTTCTATCTGAGCAGAAGAGTCAAAAGTTATCCAACAGAGTACCTGAGAAACCAACTAGATTTTTCTAGGTGTATCTTAGAATCTAAATACTTGCCAGGGAAAAATCAACGGCAGGAAAGAGGAACTGATAGTCACTGATGTTTCTCCTCTTATCACAAGGATGAACTCCCTGCAATAAGTAACAATAAGAAACAGTAAGTACAAATGCCAGTAGTAGTTGCCTCAGCCTCCAAATAGTTTTAGTTTGAAACTGCCAGATTTTAGATAAATACTGTTTTACTTTTAGTCAGAAGAAATATTCAAGTTGCTGAACATGTTATACGCACACTGTTCACACTATTATATCAGAATATTATTTGGCTAATTTTGCCCTTTTCTAGCAGTGGGTACCAGGTTTGAAAATGTAGATTACTAATAGACCCTACAACTTAAACTGTCAAAGTAAACCAAAGGGTTACGACTTATTAGGTTTTAATTCAATAGAAAAAGCTGAATTCTTTGTGTTTCCATGACGAAGACTTATGATTAAAAAAGGGTTTCAGCTTCAAGGTTGATTATGAGCCACATAGCACATTTTATCTAGTTGTTTTCTCCTGTTACTTATTCTTATTGCTTCCTACCTTTGTTCCTTCTTTTATTCTAATTCATATATTCTTTGTCATTGTTCTTGTTTTACAATTTCAATTAAATACTCAACAAATAATCTTTTACACCAAGATAAAACAACTTTCTGACAGCAATACAACCAAACACAAGGATTTCATAACATAGCAAAGCAACTGAGGAAAAAAAAAATTGCTAAATTGACACCACTAGCTCAGGAGCTGAAATACTCCAGCAAAAGTATGTGGATTGGATGGTTGGGAATTTCCTAATATGGCAAACAAATAGTGAAACTTCAAACAAAAGTAAACTGAGTTTCTACAATTGCAGAACAAAAAATAATTGGCACCAAGTTTCCCAGAATCAAACTACAAACTTGAAGCTAGATTAGCACCAGCATTTATGATATGCTTTAGCTTTCCTTGCACAAGGATAAATCTGAAATTAATTAGAATTTGGCAATTAAGGAATAGACAAACAAAGCCATGTAAAGCAGAGATCACATCACACCAATTTTCCACAAGCTAGAGTGGCAAGGAATCTTCTATCATTAACTTTTGGTAACAAGATGATTAAGGAAAAAAAAAAAAAAAAAGAAAAGAAAAAGGTTACATATTTTCATATTTATGTGTTTCTTCAACCAGAATACATTGTATTCTTCTTTCAATATCCAAAATCCACTGAACTTTCATGTGGATTCACAAGAGTTTTTAGCTGGAGACCATGGCCAAGTCTTACAACCTTGATACTCAAAAAACTCACAAGATACAATATTCAAAACAGGCAGTCCCAAACTTCTTGGTTAAAAGCAAGGGCTCAGGATTGACCACTCAACCAAGCACTCAGGTCACTGAACTAAATTGAATTTACCAGCCATTTTATACTTCGTGGTAAGAATTTGCATGTCCAGCCCTTGAAGGTATTGAAAAACACAATTTTTAAAGTCACAAGGACATAGCAAGCATATCATTAAATGTTCTCTTAATTGTTATTATTGCACTCATGCTTAGCCACTATGGCACATATATGATGCTGAATAGCTAAAACACAGGTTACAACATGGTATGATTCATTACATTTGCAATGAATCATCCTCTGGGAGACATGTACCAAAAAGCAAATCTCCAATATGTTTCTGAAAACCCCTGAACCTTTACATGAAATGACACTTTTGAGAAACAGTTAAAAGATTGCTGTAAGTTCACTTCTCTCTCACTAACAAAAAATTTTTAACAACCCAATTTAACAGACTTTCTGCAAAGATTTATCAGCCCAAACAAGCCTTTAGTGCATAATACATTGAAAAGATAGTTTTGTTCGTGTAGAAGGCCAGGATTTCTGCTGTCCTCCCAATGAGGTACGCTAAGTCCTTTCAGTAGAGGAAGAACTGGCTGTTAATCTTTCACTATATGGGGGAAAATTGGACATTACAATAGCTATTGACTATTTAAACATTCAAAGCAACTAATAAGATGAAAAAGGAATGAAGAGCTAAAATTAATTCTACATTTTGCTGACAAAAGAAATAACTATTTTCTTTACACACCTTAAAAGAACTAACTATCCAGCTCAACAACAATCTTTCTCAACAGGATGTTATCATTGCTTACAAGTTACAAGTAATTATGCACAATCTTGAGAAAGATAGTAGTGCAAGACATACCAAATGTTCTCGACAAAGTTCTACCGCAATGACTGGTGGGCAGTTTAGACTTGAAATTGCAGCACGGCCACTGTTTCCAGCATTTGCCACCATTAGTGGTACTACATCCATCCGATCCTCATAGCCCTCACCACCAAAAACTCCAACAGCTGTTTGCAGTGTCCTAAAAACATCACAGTATTTACAACTTAGTGTAGAGAAAATTTAAATGTTATAGCAAATGAACTAAACAAATTAAAAAGTGGAACAGATTAAAAGTAGCATCCAGAATAGTACATTCAACAAAATCTGTTTAGTGAAACAACCAAAACGAGAGCTGAAATCTAATTTGTGCAACTTGAAGGTTTAAATTCTACGTTTGGTGGAAAAATACTTGATAATCCTGAGCTGAAATCTTTTGGAGAAAACAAAACGATGAGTTCAAAGAACACAATCGTAGAAAATAACACCCCTGAACCCATAGTATTAAGTTATCAATTTCAAGTGTTAAATAGATGGGTGAAAATACGATTAAGAGTCACACATTATTCTTTGTCAAAAATAAAAAATAGTACAACAATAAAATGAACAACACTTTCCACTTTCAACCCTACAAGTCGACTTTGTCTTATTTAAGGTCCTATGCAAGCCAGTTAGAAACACTTTAATACTAAGTCAGAAAATAGATATCCACAAGAAAGTATGGCAGAAATACCTAAGCAAAGGAGAAACAATTACTAAATCAATCCGCTTTGAGAGCCCAGTTTCATGGACATGCTTACGCAGATTGTCAACCTGCATCAATTGCAAAAAAAATTCACAAAATGTAGCCAATGCTTTTCTTTCAACTACTCTACTTATGAAAATGGAAATGACCAGCAACCGACCTGCTGCCAGCCAAGTTGGGTTAGATGTGCATCAAAATATTCAGGAGACATATATGCTTTGAAGTTCTTATCTCCGTCAACATTGTGAATTCCTTGTGCATGCCTCACCTGGATGTATCGTTTCATAAGACCACAATGCCTTGGTTTGCGAGCAAAAGCCAAGAAAGAAGGCAATCTTGAACATCCTTCAAGCCAAATATGTAGCAGCTTCAAATCCACGATGGATATTGTATATCAATTGAAAAACAAGAGAGATACCAACCAGATAAAGAGTCTTGCAGCGATGCGACGGATACAAACTTATACCAGCACCACCATCCATATCTTCAACTAAAACGCATGAATATTAGCTGTCTATAGAAAGCATAAAATATATATATCTTTAACAGGTGAAGATTCTTCATTCTCTTATAATTATAACTCAGGAGTCATGACATATTAAAACGTTTAGTAATGCACTTCTAAACTATATCTTTTACGCATCACTATCAATTGCTAATGTGTTGTTTTGTTGCCAGGCAAATGACACTCATGAACATTGATTGGACCTACAGGCTACAACATCACTCTGTCAGCCACCAACCCAATTTCATGGCTTATTGAGGGAGGAGATGTCATATTGTTTCCAATTAGAACCTTAACAACATTATTAATATCCACTTCACATATCTTCAATACCCTTATAGCTAATCACTTTTCATCTCACATATACATCCGACATTAAGCACTTTCACAACTACTGATTCAGAAGAATAATTTAATCATATAACAATAAAACATAAAGCATCAGTAAAGGTGCTGAAAATTCTTGATGTCCCTTGTACCAATGAATTCTTGTTCTTAAAAACTTCCATTAAAAATCTTTTGGTTGTACTTTTATCTAACTTCCATTTGAGTAACCCTAAGTACATTACAGAGATTTTCATATCCAATTTATTGCTCGAAACCATGACTAAAGCAGAAAAACACAAATAACAAACAAGTATATCCGAATCCGAGACACCAGCACGACCAGCTACAGAACTACTCAAAAAGATTAACAAGCTTCAATATTCGAATAATCTCAAACTTCATCACACCCACATAATCAAACCACCATCTGACCTCCTCCCATAAATTTCGTTAATTAAAAAAAAAAAAAATTATATATATATGAAAAATGCTAAACACCCATACAAAGAGGGTTACAAATTGAGGCCAGCAAGAAGAAAAAAACACAGAAAAAACGGAAAAAGAGAGAGAAATCATCAAAATCAAGGGTAACCACCATCTGACCTCCTCCCATAGATTTCGGTAATAAAAAAAAAAAAAAAATTATATATGTATTTATGAAAAATGCTAAACACCCATACAAGAGTTACAAAGTGACGTCGGTAAGAAGAAAAAAAAACAAAGAAAAAACAGAAAAAGAGAGAAAAATCATCAAAATCAAGGGTGAGATTATCTTTGGATGCCCCTTTATATTTATCTTTGTAAAACTAGCATTGATATATATATATAAAACTCCACAACGAACCTCAATCAAAACCATCGTTCATCGAATCAAAAGAATCTAAGTCTTCAGAAAAACCCACATGGAAACAAACGAAATCATAGCCCAAAACAACTTATCCGACTCTAAATCAACGAAAGCACAGCAACCCAGATCAAATAACAACACAAAACATCAAAAAAAAAAAAAAAATTCAAGAAGAGAACATCAAACAGTAATATAAACATGGAGATTACGAGACAAAGGTAAAATGAAGTAAAACTGAACAGAAAAAGGAGGTATGAGAAATGGGTAAAAGTACCAGGGTGAGGAGAGGAGAAGCAGCGAAGAGAGAGAGGGGATCGAGAAGTAAAAGCTGTTGACTTGAAGGATCTGTTTAAAATTACAGAAGAAGAAGAAGAAGAAGAAGAAGAGAATGTTAGAGTTATAAATTTATTTTTGTGATAATAACTGGTTGGACAATTTGCTAATGCTGTCATTGATGCTTTCTGTCTATTCATTTGGCGCTTAGACTCCAAGGATTTGTAAGGATATTTTCATGCCGCTGGAAGGGTATATCAGTCATTTGACAAAAGTAAAGTTTTTTTAATTAATTAAGAAAACTTTAAAAGTCTCTAAACATAAGTAGTTAATTAGATTGAACGTAAATACATTATAGGTGCCGATTCCCAAATCAGCTTAAAATCTGGAGGGGTTTGGCACGGGCAAAATGTATAGTTTCTTTGTGGATGAATGAACTTACAAATATAAAATAATAATCCTAAAACATACCGCATACTGAAAATGAGAAGTTACTGCAAGAAATTTAGCCTAGTCATCGACCCAAGACCAAAGCATGGAGGCAAAGCCTCTCTATTTCAGAGACTAGCTTCAACATTTTTCCACGACAGAAACAGGGCCGGCTTAAGGGCCAAACATGTGAGGCACCTGCCTCGGGCGCCAAAAAAATGGGGCCCCAATTTTTTATAAATTTTTTTTTTTTTGAATATCTTACTAAAATGAAAATAGTTTATAATTTCTCATCTAAGCCAAGACCCTCCCCCAAAAAAATAAAAAAAAACCTAAATTTATTATAAACTTTTTACATATATTTCCACCCAAAGTTTAACAAAATAGCAAGTTTGTACCTCTAGTTATATATATTCTAGTTTATACCTCTAAATTAACACATTAAATCTCTTTTAACAATGGAAGACTAAAATAGTCATTTACATATCTTAAATTACTCACCCCTAATTCAATCCCAAAATTTTACATTCACATAAATCATCTCCAGCCCTCTTCTGCCGCTAGTGGTTTGGAGTTGATTTCGGTCAATTTTGGTTCCGATCAATTTTCTCACCAAAATCGACCGAAATCATCATTTTATCATTTCCCAACCTTGATAGCCCTCGATTTGACTAATTTTTGCTGAATCTCGCAACCCAACTCCACCACACAACAGCCATTTCCAGCATTTTTGGCATGTATCCGACATTGTTGGCCTTTCTCGACACCAGCATCTTCCTCCCATCAGCCCTCTCAGCAAAACCCCTATCATACCTTATCCGTTTATTTTGCCAATCGCCGACCATCGATACCTTTTGGGCCGTGACTTCTCAAGCCTTTTCTTATCAATCTTGGCATTAGAAATCGCCCATTTCACCACCCATCACTTCTCCAACATCTACTCTCCAAAACCCCCCACCAACCTAACCTTGTTAGCTTGCCGATTGCTGTCCACCTCTCCTAGTGATTTTTTATCTCAAAAGGCCAAAAAAAAAAAAAAAAAAAAAATTTAATATATGCTTATATCATTAGAGGGCCCCAAAATAACTCCTGCCTAGGGTCACAAATGTTCTAAAGACGGCCCTGAACAAAAAGGTGAAGTTCTGGCCTGAAGCAGAGATATATCTGCATGGATCTATGACAGAAATTTCAAACCAGATACTAAAAGTATAAACAATACAAGAGTCAAAACTTTTATAATGGAATAACAATAGTATGATTTAAAAGACTGTAACGATTATAACAGAGGGAACCAAGTTCATGGCACCATTTGTCTAACAAGTTCAACTCAGCTCGAACTGCGGAATTGCACAAGAGAATTTCTAAATAGACTACAAAGAAAACTAAAGTGTCCTACAGGAATCTTTTTCTTTTTGTCCTGTATTTTTAAGTATCAAACATACTTGTCTACTCTACCTAAAGCCTTGAAGATTATACTGTTTATACTATTGTAGTATAATTTTGGAAGAGCCAAGCTCTTTTCCTAAGGCAGAACATTTTTTGTTTAATTAAAAAACTTCATTGTTATCTTTTTTAAAGGAATAAAAAAAAATATATATATATATGCTAGGCAAAGTATAGGCTGATGAACAAAGTGATACAGTAAAATAAATTCCATGTAACTGATACTACTCGTCATAATTGGCTAAATAATTTATATACTATACAGTACCTATGACTGCGTCCAGTTTCTGTTCTCCACTCCACCAATACAGAAGCACGCCAAGCAAAGAATTTTAGTTCCACAAATTCACTTCCTCTTTTTCAAGAGTGAATGAGTGATGCTAAATTTCTAAGTCAGCCATAACATTTTTCCATCAATAATCCCCACAAGAACAAACTCCCTCTTTAAAATGATGGAACCTATTAGTGTCTCTGACAAATATATCTCTCCTTTCAAAATTGGATATAAATTTTATAACAGCATGACAATCAAAGAAGATTCTTGGGTTCTTAATCACTTGAAGAGGAGCTCCTGGTGGAGTATTAAGAAGTCCAAACACTACAACCAACTTCTCACTGTGCCCACACAAGATCTGCTCCTTATCCTGCTCCTCCACATCTTGCAGCACAAAGTCAGTATGTGGAAAGTAACCTGACTTCTTTATTTCCATGTTTAATTTATTTAACTTCTCCATGATTTGGGCCATTTGAGGATGTGATTCATCTCCGGCAAGAAGCATGTGCAAATTATATCAGAGGCTTCTCGTTTGTAATTTGCTCATGCAACGGTAAGTTAAGGTTGCCTCGAAAGGCAAGAAAATACCAAACGGTCCCGTACAATTAAATAGATAAAAGCCAAAAATAATGACGATGTGTGTTATGCATGGAAAAGTAGGGCTGACGCAAAGCCCTGTCAACGTAAACGGTCAGAGCTTAGGTAAGTCCTGCAGCCATTCAGACGTAGCCACGTCGTACAATGACGCAATAGCAGCATGCTCCTGCCAATGCAGTAGGTGTGCGCCAGGCTGGTGAAAGGCTGGAGGCGATCCACGTGTCCAATCCCTGCAAGAGTCGAGTAAATCACTCGAGCAGCTGAGCAACGGGACGCAAGGAAGGATTTGCACGGATATCTTACCCACTTCCTGATTTAGTAATCATTACCTCAATTCATCTCACTATAAATAGAGGGATCCTCTCTCGTTTGTGAGATTAGCTAATTTCTCTCTGGAATAGCATATATACACTCTCTCTCTCTCTCTCTCTCTCTTGTAATCCCTCGCAAGTCAGCTCGCTAAACGTGACATGACCTCATATATTGATACGATACCAGTGAACGTAGGATTCGCTTTCTTAAGCATCTGAACCACTTTAAACACTGTTTTTCTTCTTCTATTCAGCTCACCACCCTCGTACACGTGTGTCTTTTGAGTCAGCTCAGCATTTCCCATGTGCGTTTAGTTGGTGTAAAAATCACGTATCAACAGTTTGGCGTTAGAAGGAGGGTCTGATTTAGTATTTGTCCTTCATAAGGAGAATCTCTAACTAATCGGTCCAATAGCAAATGGCTCGCAGATTCGAATCTGAGCGACCTAATCATGGTGAGGAAGAGATCCCCTAGGTACAAGAAGACACTTCATCCGAAGTGCCCCCAGTCCCGCAAAATCTCGTGGGGGATATCCCTTCAAGCTCACGGATTGACCCAGCCATTATGAGCTACATGGAGAGGTTTAACAATACTCTCCAAATAGCCAACCAAAGGTTGGAGCGCTTGGATCGGGTGGCACCACCTGAATCAAATGAGGCGGTGCCACTACCAAAAATGCCTGCAGGTCATATGAAAGCGTGGAAAAGGGTGATAGCCAATGCCACGTGCACTGTAGTGGGTTAAAGGAAGGTAAAGCAAGTGGCAAACAATGGGCCTAGAGGCTCCGAGGGACCAGCGAACACCAATCGCACCCCAGGTAGAATACTCGTGGTGCGAAGATCGGTGACATGTCACAGCCCGAGCTGTCCCGTGCCACGTCACGTGAGCACTCCCACAAAAGTGCAAGGCGGGGAGATTCCCATTATCACCACAATGATGACTCCGATCATCATTGTGCAGGAGGTTCCTACTGTCTGCGGGTCGGTTCGTACCACTGCAGAGGTCGGGAAGGTTCACTAGACCAGTCAGCGTGTGTTAAGAGCGGCCGAAATTACTGGCTGAGGCGAGGAGGAATCCGACCTTCATACTTTCCTCAACCGCAATCGTAAGGGTCGAACCCGCATTGGGAAAAGCAATCCCCAAATGCCTCTATTGCCTCAGATTGAGCTACAACGAGCTCTGGATCCGCTAAAGGCTTACCAAAATGAGCGAGGGCAAGTTGCAGAGGCGTCTCCCTTTTCTTTGGCTGTGTTAGCCGCCCCTCTCCCATCCAAATTCAAAATTCAATGGGAATTCTGATCCGCAGGATCATTTGTACGAATTCAACGACTTGATGGAACTTCACCAAGTTTCTGACTTGGCAAAATGCCGATGCTCAGCAGTAACTCTTACATCTCATGCCAAGAGGTGGTTCAGGTCGCTCCCGACGGGATCAATCAGCTCGTGGAATCAGATGAGCTTGACATTCTTGAGACACTTCCAAGCAAATAGGAAGTTCTCAATGCCTTTGAGCTACCTCAGCAACATAAGGCAAGAGAGGGATGAATTCCTCCAATCTTACATCGATAGGTTCCATAGGGAACTCCATAAAGTAGCTCATACTCCCGAAGAGTCTGTTCAGACTCTTATCATAGCAGGAGTTCGTCCACAGATAGGTCTATGGAAAGAGTTACAATCAGAGGACGATGTTTCCTTCACCCGCTTCTACAGCCTTACGAAGAAATACCTTCGTATTGAGAACTCTGCGGTGGCGCTCCATTGCCACGACACTGGCACTTCAGGTAGTGCGCCAGGTCGGGGGGAAAATAGGAGGGCTGATCATCGATGGGCTAACAATGATCAGCGAAAAGGAAAGAAATAGCGGTTTGAGCCCAAGAAGTCTTATGCTCCAGTTCCTCGTCGCGATCGTAACAGAAATCAATATACCCCTTTGAATGCATTTGTCTTGGCCATTCTTGACAAGTCAGAAGAGGCCGGCATGCTCGGAGAACCTGAGCCCATGAAAAATCCTCCTTCAGCTAGAAACAGTAAAAAGTACTATTGTTATCATCGGGACAATGAGCATAACACCGATGAGTGCCGAGCTCTCAAGCAAGTAATCGAAGATCTTATCAAGCAGGGGCATTTCAAAGAGTATATTGATGACTCTGCTCCCGTAAGGGAGAAAAATCTAGAGGAACTGAGTAAGAAGCGTCGTGATCGCAAGTGTATCTGTAGCATCGGGATAATCTTCGGGGGACCACACTTCGGGGGAAACTGGTGAGGTGCCCAAGAAAGATATGCTCGCGCAGACCATTACGACCCTATCCGTGTGATGAACACAATGCAGCGACCATCAAAGGTTCGAAGAGAGGAGGAAATCACCTTCTCTGAAAAAGACACAGTTCAATTGCATCATCTCCATGATGATACTCTCGTCATCACGCCCCAGATAGAGCGCTACGACGTCCACATAATGTTGGTGGATAATGGAAGCGCTGTGAACATCATGTTCCAGCGAGCTTTCGAAAGAATGAAATTGGATAAGGCCGACCTGAAGCCCGCTTCTATCCCCCTATATGATTTTACAAGGGATCACTTGATCCCCAAGGGAGTAATCTCGCTTCTAGTCACGCTGGGTGACTTCGACAAGGTGACTAGGGTCACTGAATTCTTGGTAGTGGACTGCCCCTCCATTTTCAATGGCATCCTAGGGCGACCTCTACTGAGAAGCTTCAAGGCAGTCACTTCAATCTACCATCTCAAGATGAAGTTCCCCACCCCGACAAGGATAGGGGAAGTAAGCGGATCTCAGCACGCATTTCGTGACTGCTATGTAAGGGTAGTGCAGATGGCGTGTAAGGGGAAAGACATCCCCCGTGGCATTCCCGAACAGGCAATGGCGATCAGTCGGATCGAACCACAGCTTGGCCCAGCCGAAGATAATATGGATCCTCGTATCCAGGAATGCCCTTTTAGTGGGCCAGTTGAGGATTTATCTGAAGTGTCGGTCGACCAGAACGAGCCGAGCCGAGTGTTGAGGATCAGAAGCAATCTCGACCCCCAGCTCGCTACTGATCTGACCAGCTTCCTCAGAGAAAATATTGATGTGTTCGCATGGACACATGCCGATATGGTCGGGATCAGCCCGAACATCATTTGCCATGCCTTGAACATCAATAGTGAAGCTAGGCCGGTCCGCCAGAAAAGAAGAGCGATGGATCTAGAGCGATATGCTGCCTTAAAAATTAAGGTAGATAATCTCCTTCAGAATGGGTCTATCTGGGAAGCACTTTACCCGAGCTAGGTTGCCAACCTAGTTCTAGTAAAGAAGCCCAACGGCAAGTGGCAGACCTATGTTGACTTCACCGACCTCAACAAAGCCTGCCCAAAAGATAGTTTTTCCCTATCCAAGATCAACTAGCTCCTTGATGCCACCTCCGGGCACGAGCCGCTGAGTTTTATGGATGCATACTCGGGATACAATCAAATCCCGATGTATGTGCCGGACGAAGAGCATACCTCATTCGTTACAGATTGGGGGTTGTATTGTTATAGGGTTATGCCCTTCGGCCTAAAAAGCGTTGGAGCGACTTACCAGTGGCTGGTTAACCAAATGTTTTCTGAGCAGATCGAAAAGTTGATGGAAGTCTATGTTGATGACATGCTAGTTAAGTTGCATGTCGCTTCAGATCACATAGCGCATCTCGTTGAGATGTCCGACGTCCTCCGGAAGTATATAATGAAGCTCAATCCTTTCAAATGCTCATTTGGAGTATCCTCAGGAAAATTTCTGGGGTACATGGTTAACCAAAGGGGAATAGAGATCAACCCCGAGAAAATCCAAGCTCTCCTCGACATCAAAAGCTCGACCAACTGAAAACAGGTTCAAAGTCTCAGTGGGCGAATAGCGACACTCAGTCGCTTCATATCGAGGGCAACAGATCGCTACTTGCCATTCTTCAACATCCTGAAGGCCACTAAGAAGTTCGAGTAGACTCTCGAGTGCGAATAGGCATTTCATAGCACCTCGAAAAACCACATCTTCTATCCAAGCCTCTCCCGCAAGAAATTCTACTCCTGTATTTGTCCGTCTCTCAGTATGCGGTCAGTGCAGCTTTAGTTCGGGAAGAGAGAAGCGTTCAATGGCCAGTTTAATACGCGAGCAAGCATCTGTTGGATGCCGAGATGCGGTATCCGAAGATGGAGTGATTGACTTATGCCTTGCTGATCGCCTCCAAAAAGTTGCGATCTTACTTCCACGCCCATACAATCCATGTAATGACCAGTTACCCACTCAAGCAAGTCCTCCAGAAGCCAAAGGCATAGGGTAAATTGCTCAAGTGGGCCATGGAATTAAGTCAATTTGTTCTGTAGTATAAACCGAAAGCAACCATCAAAGGGCAGGCTGTTGTCGATTTCATCTCCGAATTCTCATATCACCCAATAAAGGAATCCGAGCAACAAGCCAGCGAAGTCACCCAAGAAACTGTTCAGAACCTGTCGACCTGGAGCCTATATGTCGATGGATCATCGAACAGGAAACGGACCGGGGCATGCCTTCTTTTCCTGAGTCCTGAAGGGACTCTGATGAGAATGCAAAATGTCATATTTACCCCCCTTAATGTCTAGTATTTTATACTTATTTGCTGCCTGAGGGCATCTCCAACCCACGCCAAAGTGCCACGCCAAAATGGTGTGGCACTGTAGCGCGAATAATTTTTTTTTTCTTTTTTTCTTTTTAATTTTGTTAAGTTAATTTGAGTATTAAATTTTACACCAAAAATCACACCAAATTTGATTATTTGTATTTAATTTAATTTGATTATTATTTATAATAATAAATTCATAATAATGACATAATTTAAAAAATGATGAAAAATTAAAAATAGAACTTTATTCAATGCAAATATTAAACTACAATAACTCAAAATAAAAATTAACACTAATTTAAAAACACTAAAATTAAAAGAAAATACAACATAAACTAAAATAACAATTTAGTATTCTGATAGATTAGTTTCGGATCCAGTAAGATCATCAAAATATTGAAAAGAAATAGAGTTATTTTGAGATCCTTGACCTTGTTGTTGAGCTCTTTTTTGCATAATTCTTGATTGTTCATTTTGAAAAAACTCACGTAGGCTTGGATCAATTATAGAATTCAAATCCTTGAATAAAATTTTGTTATCTTCTTGATATTTTGCCAAAGCCATTTTTTTCATTTGGATTTCATAATTTTGTGCCCTAGTTGAATTGCCTCGATTGAAAATAGCAGCGAGCTGTCGATTTTCTTCTTGAATAGTTTCAAAACTGTTTAAAACTTCTTTATCATTTTTCCTTTTAAATTTTGCTTTCTTCACCCCAATAAGTAGTTGAGCAAAACTACACAAAATATTTTCATCACTTATGTTTAGAGAATTTGACGACATGTCACAAGGCATCGATTGGGGAGACTTTGAAGTGGGAGTCTCTGATTCTTGTGATACAAACCTACCGGTTTGCCTTTGAAATACTTCTGCGGAGTTAAAATTATCTATAAAATTTTCAATATCCTTAAGTATAGGCCACACATGATCAAATTTGAAACCTTTCTTGTAACTTTTATCTTGTGCTAGTAACATTTTGGCTTGAATCATCTACAAAACAATATACGTATAACGTTAAAATCAATTAGATAAAAAAAAAAAAGCTTGAATGAAATGTAACAAATACTCACAATATCTTGCTCAGAAGCACCACTTGGATTCATATTTTCAATTTGACGTACGTATCCCTCAATTTGCCAATAGCTTTAAAGATCAACTGCATTCGACATTGCAAAGATCTTTTGTTTTGAACCTAGGTGAGAAACACAGGTTTGGAACTATTGTAGTCAAGCTCAACTCAAGACCAGAATTGATCACTAGATTCGTTTATACCTAAAATCGAGTTTTGAGAAATATCAAGATAAATATGACATAGATGCATGTCTTCTTCATTTGTGTACGAAGAACTTCGTTGTGTAGTCATTTTGTAACACAAATGAAGAAGATATATGCTTTTTTTTTTTTTTTCTAAGAGGAAATAGAAGAGATGTGTTCAAAACTAATGTGTTGTATGCCCTTTTATAACATAAGTTTGAATGGACAACACATCTTTTTGAATAAGCCACAAATCTCAAAAGCTTGAATGGACAATACATCTTTTTGAATAAGCCACAAAGCTCAAAAGCTTGAATGGATAACACATCTTTTTGAATAAGCCACAAATCTCAAAAGCTTGAATGGACAATACATCTTTTTGAATAAGTCACAAATCTCAAAAGCTTGAATGGACAATACATCTTTTAGAATTATTATTTTTTATCTAGAATAGTATTTTCTTCAACTATAAAAACTCACAACAAATCAACTTCCAAATCATTCAACTAATATATCTACAAAGATGAATTTCAATTTTGGAGGTCCATCTCATTTATCATCTTCTAATTCATCATCATTTTCGAACAATGAAATTGATGATGAGGAATTGTTGAATGATCTTGAAGTAATTGATGCAGAGCAAGAAGCAATCCTTCGCATGAGAGCTAACAACAACCTCCTCCTCCTTCACTATCTCAATCAATAGAACAACCAGGTGATCCGTAGAGGATCAATTCCTGGTCATAGAGTCATCAATCGCAACTGGGAAACTGCTGATCGCAATTTGTTCAAAGATTATTTTGCCGAGAATCCACAGTTTAATGATTCCATGTTTCGTCGACGATTTCGAATGTCTCGCAATTTATTCATTCTATTGTTGATCGGGTGAAAAGGTCATGATAACTACTTTGTACAACGAAGGGATGGGCTCGGTAGGCTCAGATTGTTTGCTTTTCAAAAAATAATAGCGGTGTTCCGGATGTTAGCGTATGGTCTACCGGCAGATGCTACTGATGAGTATATTAAAATAGGCGAGTCTACAACCATTGAAAGTTTGAAGAGATTTTGTCGTGTTGTTGTTGAGGTATTTGCAGAACGATATCTAAGATCACCTAATGCTAATGAAGTTGCAAGGCTACTTCATATTGGTGAACAACGTGGTTTTCCAGGAATGTTGGGTAGTTTAGATTGTATGCACTGGAAGTGGAAAAATTGTCCAACAGCTTGGGTAGGACAATATGCTGGTCATAGTGGATCCCAAACTATTATTCTCGAGGCTGTAACTGATTATGATCTTTGGATATGGCATGCATTTTTTGGTTTGCCAGGTTCCAACAATGACATTAATGTGTTAGAGTTGCACCAACTCATCCTCTGTGTCTCTTAATATCAATGTGTGAGTTTGTAGAGTTCTAATCATGTTCATAACCCTTTCCTTTTGAGCGGGTGTTTTAGCAACCATTGCACGTTTATAACGTAACTTTTTTTGTAAAAAATACAAAAAAAACTCTTTATTTATCAAATAAAGGTTGACTATATTTGATAAATAATATATATACGTGTTTATGGTTTAATAACAAAAACTAGACTCATAACAACATACCAAGTATGCATTTTATTCTTTACAGCAAAAGAAAAAAAATTTAGAATACTTCACGTGCCGCCCAGAAGCGGCCACGCGCCATCACGCGTCGGTAGGGCATTCCACGTGCCTGCCACGCGCCTCACACGGATTTGGGTCGGGTAGACCCGTTTCCAATTTAACCGGGTCAATTTTGACCTGAGTTTAACCTGTTGACTTGTTTGACTTCATGGGTCGGGCGTTGACTGGGTTTGATTGACCCGTTTGACCTTATGGGTCGGGTTTGACTAACCCGTTTAATGTATTGGGTCAGATCCGCGGGTCAACTTGACCCATATTTATTTTGGTTTTGGGTTGGCCCGGAAAGGAATATATTGGGTTTGTCAGTATAGTTAACACAAAACAAAAATAGCCCAGTGGTTAGGGAATTGGGCTTTAACCTTGGAAACTTGGGTTAAAGTCTCACTAACCACGCCTGTTTGCATGTTTTTTTTTTTTTTAAATTTATTTATTAAAAGGAATTAAATAAAACGACTTGTCATTTATAAGGTTGAATTAAAACGACATGTCGGTCCTTGTCGTCTTCAACCTTTGTCCGGGTCTGCAACTAGGTACCCGACCCAGAAATCAACCCATACGAAACCCGAAACTTCAAAGAGGCATATCTAAGTCATTTTAACTCCATTTTTTATGATTCAAAAACCATTTTCTTCATAATTTCATAAGGAATCTAATAGTGTAATTATCATTACCAAAAAAACAAATTTTTACGTACAAAAATTGAAAAATCAGAACTGTATTTAATAAATAAGTAACATGTTTTAACAAAACAGTATGAATTTAAAACAATATCAACCACGGCTCTGATACCAATGTTGGAAATAACATAGAATAACATATATCCTAAAGTAATCCCAACATCATAGTCACCCATTGCAATCACATTTGTATATAAACGAACTACAATGAATTTACACAGCATAAATACCTCTTCTCCTTATCTCTGAAGCAAAAAATTGAACCTGGAAGAATCAACTACGTAGAGTATCTTCTTTTCAATTTTAGAGAGAGAAAGCATGTTTTTTTTCTTTGCGTATTGGTGAGTGTGTTACTACCTAAAAGAAAGAACTTATCTTTTTTATATGGCAGCGGTTCATGTGAAACTGCCAAAGGCAGTTTCCACTTCTCATGCCCCTTTATCATGGGTATACTTATCCAATATGTTAGATGTATGTGGATTTCGTGAGATGAGTGCTTTCAACTCTCTATAAAATTGGGTTTTATAAATAAAAAGATTAAAGACCTTAATGCTTTTGAATTGATAAATGATTTCTGGCTTATAGTAACTGGTGCTAAACGTCGGCTTAGAAGTGAAGTATATTTTGGGTATTAACAGAATATAAACTTTGGGTTGGAAAACGGTATTTTGAAAATTTTTGGGTGAAAAAGTGTCATTAAGGCAAACCTTGAGTGGGAAAAATTCGTTTACCCTTATAAATAATATCATTTAATTTTTAGATTTTATCACACAATTAGCTTTTGTTTATGTAATAACTGAATTTGTATTCTTCTGTGCCCATTAAATTATATTAAATTAAAATTAAATCATGTAATCGATTTTCAAACTTAATATTGTAAAATCCAAATTTTCATTTTTAGTCATAAAAAATTAGAAAATTTCCTATTATTTGGAGGGTGGGAAAGCCCATACAAGAATATATTGATCGAAATAGATATATGATATTAAGGTGCAAATGAGGTGTGATTTAATAATATGACAAAACTATTTTTGGATGACCAAGTGGTTTGATAAAGACTATTGAGTATATTATTCAAGAGGTTTTGAGTTCGAGTAATTCCTTAGTTGTTAATAGGGGTAGTGATTGAAACTCTTACCCAACTGATAGTTCCAAAGTCCTTGAAGATTAGCTGAAGCGTGTGTAAGCTAGCCCGGACACTCACCCTTGATCATAAAAAAGATAAAAATAATATGACAAACCATTTAGGACACAAATTTTGTGATAATTTTGGAGAAAATCACTTAAATAACCCCTTTTAAAAAGCCAATTTAAAACTTGAAACCTTTTTAAGTTGATTAGTGTACATAAGACCTTTGACATTGATTTTGGATGAAATTGCCCTTACTATAACTCACTCACACTGTCACACACACACACACACACACTTATCTTTTCTCTTCACAAAGCTTCGTTGCCTCCTTTTCTTTCAGACTAAAAATCAACTTTTCTTCACTTCTCATATGTTAGAATCATTCTTCCAATGTCACCAAGCTTTTGAAGTCCAAAACTCATCCTACGAACAATATATTCAAAATCAAGTATAAAGGTAATTGTTACATTTTTTTCTTTAATTTAGTTAATTAGATCTATGGTTTTTTTATTTGTTTAGATTTTATATGGGTGTTATTTATGTAATGTGTGGTTACTTTAGTTAAAATGATGGACTTTTGGACAGAAAAAATCAACTTAGGATTGTATAAAGAAGCCATTTAAAAATTCTACTTTCTAGAAAATTTGAAGAAAATCTAGCAACTTTTTTGCTAGACTCAAGCGACTCGAGTTGCACGAGTTTGAACATATTCTAGCACTTGAGTTGATAAGACTCGAGCACTAGAAGTTGTTCGGTTGAGAAGACTCAAGCAAACGAGAAAATTTAACTCCCCGGCCATCCCAAGTTTCAATTTAACAAAATGGCCTTGAAAATGTTTTTCATTTTTTTTTTTTAATTTAGAGAAGCTGACGTGGCACAGTTAGGATTCAATAAACACGTAAAACGGGTTAAAATGAAAAGATTAAAACATATGTGGGAAAAATCATAATTAATAAAATTTTTTAAAATTTGAAATTTAAAAGTTCGCCCCACCCATTCAAATCGCTTAATCGAAATTGATTAGGGCAAAAATGGATTTCTTGAACCCTAAATGGAGACTGTACGATTTCTGATCCAAACTCCAAATTTTCACACCATATTCAATCCTAAAATCAATTTGTTGAACCCTAAATGGAATACAACAGCGATTTCCGGTGATACAGTCGCGATTTCTGATCGAAACTGCAAATTTTCACACCAAATTCAATCCTAAAATCAATTTCTTGAACCCTAAATGGAATCTCTGCAATTTTCGGCGATACAGTCCAGATTTTTGATCAAAACTGCAAATTTTCACACCAAATTCAGTCCTAGACCATGACTGACATTCACAATGAGGACAAAAACCCAACGCCACTTGGAATCCTAGAGTCCGGTGGCACAAGCAGTTCAATGGCTGCTCCAGTGGATCATCTGATCAGTGAAGGTGGTCCACAGGCAAAGGTGATGACGACGGCACCACAACAGAGAGAAGAATCGTAAAAGTTCTTAAGAAGAGGAGTCCAGTGAGAATTCAGGCGAGGAGGAGGAGTCCGACGAGGAGGAGGAGGCCGGAGAGAATAGAGGCGATGAGGAGGCCGGAGAGAATACAGGCGATGAGGAGACCGGTGAAGAAAGAACACATATTTGTTTTGGGAGTGTATTGCTCTGTACTGTCGCTTAAACGATCATTGTATCGCTTAAGCGCTTCATCCCTTTTATCATGGTCGCTTAAATGATTCCAGATCGCTTAAGTGATCTTGTCTGAGGCAGATTATCTGCCCAGATCTAAGATCACTTAAGCGATATTTTGTATCGCTTAAGCAATTCATCTTTACTGTTGGTCGCTTAAGCAATTCCAGATCGCTTAAGCGATCTTGTGCGAGGCAGAATCATCTGCCCAGATCTAAGATCGCTTAAGCGATCTTTCGTAACGCTTAAGCGATCTTTTGTATCACTTAAGCGATTCATTCAGTTTACTCTTGGTTGCTTAAGTGATTTCAGATCGCTTAAGAGATCTTGCATGAGGTAGAACAAGATCTTTTAAGCGATCCGAAATCGCTTAAGCGACCACAGAGGTAATTTTTTGTTGTTGATATATTGTTTATTAGTTGTTTTGGTTTATTTTTGTTGCTGATATTTTGTTTATATCGATTGTGTAGATTGTGCGGACCGTAAACTATAAAGACTACGGGTTGGACATTGTAAGCTAGAATGTACTGTATTTCCCTGTAAAGGTGACGGTTAGGTCGAGTTAGGATGTTTTTGAGAGAATAAAAGGGATTTTAGATGGATTGAGGAATGGTCAACGACGATTCAAAGAGACTTGTTTTGGTAAGTTTTTGAAAATCGGAACAAATTGGAAAAAGACGTTCTGGGGGCAAGGAGTGCATTATATGTTGCTGCACTCAGTAAAATGCCAAAAAAAGCAAGAAATGTGGTTCGTGGTTGATGGAAAGCCGCTAAGTTTTGGGATGATGGAATATGCCTTGGTGATCGGCTTAGGATGTGGGAAAATGCCAGATGAGGATGAGGCAAAGGCAATAAAGGAGAGTGGGGGCAACCGTAAGGTTGGCTGAGAAGGTTTTGCAAGGGAAAGCATCTATTACAGGATGCAATTTAGAGAAGATTATAGGAAGAGTTTGGTTTACCGATCCAGAGAAGTTCAAACTGTGCTTGGTATTATTCTTACATTCGATCCTAATGGCTGGTGACTCTACAAAAGCCGTTGATATGGATTAGGTGAGGTTTGCAAGCAACTTGGACTTCTTTAATTCTTATCCGTGGGGACGGGTATCATTTAAGCGAACCATAGACTCCTTGCAAGGGAAAAACATGGCGTTAAAGCAGTCCCAATGGGTCGGGAAGGATAAACTGAGCACGTGGGCAATGCAGTTAAATATTAATAGCTTTTTGTTATATTTTTTGTAATATAT